TCAAGAAAGAACCGGACCATGTCCACCGACCCGTGCTGCGCCACGATTACCATGATATTCGCTGCGATACGTGCGTGTGCGTGTGCGTGTGCGTGTGCGTGTGCGTGTGCGTGTGCGTGTGCGTGTGCGTGCGTTGAGACGATCAACCGAGCAGCAATAAAGGAGACGGACGAACGGAGTGCGCGTCGTACTCTCATGGCGGGGCACCTGCACGCCTTTGGCCACCAGCAGATCGAACATGTCGCGCACGTGCTTGAAATGCTCCTCGGTTTCGGCCGGGTTCTCTTTTGCAAAGGAATAGCTGGCGGTTGTCTATGTTCCACCGAGCGCGCGCATTAGAGCATAAGATATATAAGTTAGATACATACAATTATAAGAAAAACTAATATGTATAAGCATTAATGTTTATAAGGCGTGGGTTGTCGCACTTCCAATAGGTCGGCACGATGGTCCATGGGCAGGCCAATGGCGTCGATCAGCATCTCCAGAAGAGCGACGATTTCTGCCGAGGGTTTGCAGCGCTGTTCAAGACACTGTGAGCACCACAGCCAAGGCCACACGCCACACGCCACACGCCACACGCCACACGCCACACGCCACACGCCACACGCCACACGCCACACGCCACACGCCACACGCCACACGCCGCCGCAATTGTCGATACGAACTTGGAGAAGGCAGGTGAGTGCATCTTTTGGGTGTGGTCCGCCGGTGGTGGCGCGCACGTTGGCGCCCTTGGCCAGCAGGAACTCGACGAACTCCTTCCGACACTGGATCAGCTGCAGAACTCGCAGCAGCGGCGTGCTCGTCATCGAACTGTGGGGCACCACGGCGTCCATGATGCCGGGGCCAAAGTGTTCGAGGAACAGTTGGACCATGTCGGGCAGCTGGCACTCGCAGGCCAGGAAGAACGGCGGCACCGTCACAAGGTACTGTCCCCCCCCCCGCGCGCTTCAGCCAACAATAGATTTGCAAAGAACGAAGAGCGAAAGAAAGAAAGAAAAAAAGAACGAAGAAGAACGAAAGGATGGGATGTTTGGCTCCGAACCTGTTGGTCGATGGAGCGGACGGGCTCGTTGGCGGCTCCGAGTTCAAGCAGCAGGCGCGCGGTCGAAAGCTTGTCGTGCTTCACCGCCCAGTGCAGTGGTGCGAGTCTGGTGACGCGGTGAACCTGGTTGACATCTAACGCGACACGCACACGCACACGCACACGCAGGTGTGAGCGAGCACTCTGGATACACTCGGCGGCGAATGTGTCGCCTGTGTGACCAACGCACCAGCGCCTTTGGCGACCAGGAACCGAACCATGGCCTCACGATCCTTTTCCACGGCCAGCTGGAGCGGCGTGTTGCCGAAACGATCAGGCACGTTGAGGTACTTCGCGTCGCCCTCGTCGCCGTCCTCCTTGTCGTCCTTGCTGCCACCCTCAGCATTGGCGGCGCTGGCGGCGGCCTCATCGTCGCGGTGGAAGGTGGTGCCCTTTCCCTGGCGCGCCAGGTCGAGGAGCACTTGCACGATCTGTGCTTTTCTCCACTCAAATCAGAATATATGAATAAAAAATAGAGAAAATAAATAAATAAATAAATAAATAGAGAACGTGACGCACACGAGTATGACCGGCGGCGGCGGCCTGGTGCAGAATGGGGATGGTGTTCTTGCGCTTGACCTTGCCCTTGCCCTTCGGCGCGCCACCCCTGCCGTCGCCACCACCGCCGCCACCCGTCAGTTGCGAGAGCTCCTCGCTGCTCGCTCCGTGCCTCAACAACACCTGCCGCCGCACGACATACACGAAACGCACGACACACACGACACACACGAAAAAATTGATTAGTTGTCATCGAAACGGCAAGTTGAGGTTGGTGGTTGCACGGACCTCGACGAGGTCGAGCTGGCCGGTCTGCACGGCGGCGCCGATCGGCGTCACGCCCGACGAGTTGCGCTGGTGCACGTTGAAGCCGGCCTCGGCGAGCACCTGCACCGTGGCCGGGCTCCCGCTGGCCACCGCCAGGTGCAGCGGGTACAGGCCCGAGCCGGCGTAGTCGAACGTCTCTGCGCTCCGGAACTGGCACCCATCGGCCAGCACGCGCGCACACAATCGGTGGAGGCCGCACGCGCACGCCACTCTGCACCGCAAGCACGAAAGAAGCACGAAAGAAGAACGAAGAACAACGAGATGAGGCGACTCAGTGTGTCAGTCACACTTGACGGCAAGACCGGCGGTGTGGGAGTGGGCACTTGAGGAGTTCGAGGGCGCGGGCTTCGGGTGTGAGGTCGGCGCGGTTGGCCGTCTGGTGTGCACGCCTGGCCGCCTTCACGCACCGGCTCCGCCATGACCCTGCACCCCACACCCGGTGTTAATAGTCGATTTTGTATCATAATGATAATAATAATAAGCAATAATAATAATAATAATAATAAGCAATAATAATAAGAAAGAACGAACCGCGGGCGGCGGTGGTGGGGCGGGAGGGGCCTTGGCCGAGGTGGGCGCGGAAGACGGTGCGCCACGTGTGGTCGTCATGGCGGAGGGCGTCGGCCCAGGCCCGCTGCACGGCCTCCACGCGCACCAGGTCGGCCGGCTCAAGGAAGCCCACGATGTGGAGGAACAGCTCCAGTGCCAGGTCGCCCACGCCCGCCTCCACCACCTTGCAGTCCTCCATCGCCTCCTCCATTGCTTGTGTGAAAATGAAGGTTGGAGTGCAAGAAAAAAAAAGAAATCCTAAAGCAATAAAAGATAAAAGCGGCCCATCTTTGTAGGATCACACAGTTTATCATTAATCATGGGCTACGAGAAGGAAGTTCTGGCTGAAGGAAGTGGCCCTACGCCCCAGAAGGGCCAGACGGTGACCGTCCACTGCACGGGCAACCTCACCAACCCCACCCGCAAGTTCTGGAGGTACACTACAACCCCCCCCCCTCAATGCACCTGATTCATTTCTGATCATCCACCGGCACGCAATCTACACAGCACCAAGGACACCAACACGCCGTTTTCCTTCGCCATTGGCCTTGGCAAGGTCATCCGAGGTGCGTGTACCAACATGTGACATTGTAGATTAGTCCCTCATTTTTCATCTCTCGCCCATATAGGTTGGGATGAAGGCGTCGCCACGATGAAGAAGGGCGAGGTGGCTCGTCTCATCATGACCGGCGACTACGCCTACGGCGCCGCCGGCTTGTACGCCCCCACTCCCCCCCCCCTCCCTCTTCTCCACAGAACGAAACTCACAGTACGTGTGCGTGTTGACTCATGTAGCCCTGCCTGGGGCATCGGCCCCAACGCCACGCTCATGTTCGAGATGGAGGTCCTCGAGATCAAATGAACGCGACCCAGGTGCACGACGACTCCCCCGTCCACGAAGCAAACACGCCACTGCTGAAGTCGACTTCGCTTCGTTAGCAAAGAGAAACCTTTCATGGCCTTGAGGCTTTCACCTTCTTCTTGTTTTCGCCTCTACATCTCCACGTCCTTCTTCTTGAGCTCCGCTGACGTCTCGACGTTGACGTTGACGTTGTTGTCGTCGACGGCGGGTACGGCGGCAGCCGTCCGGTCGGCGCGCACGACGACGCGGCTCGAGGAGTAGTCGGGACCGTGGACGTCGAGCCCGTTGGCCTGGTCGCGGGCCACCTGGACCTTTACCCAGTCGTAGGTCGCCCGCAGGCCATCGACCAGCCGCGTCGACGGCGCCCACCCGAGCCGCTCCCTGATCAGGTCGTTGTTGCTGTTCCGCCCTCTGTGTTCAACGGTTGTAGCCAAGTTATGTGAGCGTGTGCGGTAGTGCGTGTGTCGTGTGTCGCTGTGTGCGTGTGCGGTACCGGACGCCCATGGGGCCGGGCGTGTAGGTGAAGCCGAGAGGCTTGTTGTCGAAGGCGCAGATCATGCGAGCCATCTCCTGCATCGACACCATCTCGTCCGATCCGATGTTCAGTGGCTCACGCACGTCCGACTGCATCAGCCGCATCAAACCCTCCTACGCTCCGCCGCACACGCACCGCCGCACACGCAAGCGCACCACAAGAAAGGGTGAGTGTGCGTTGACGAAGGAAGGCTTCACATCATCGCGTGCGTACCACGCAGTCGTCGATGAAGCAGAAGCTTCGCGTCTGCAGGCCATCGCCCCACATTTCAAAGTTGTCCCGCGAGCAGATCACCTTCCGGCAGAACGCCGCCGGTGCCTTCTCCCTGCGCAACGTTCACCAAAAAGTAAGCACGCACCCGATGTGTGTCATGTGCGTCGTGTCTTGCGTGTCGTGTCGTCTGTAATCAAAGGTTGCAGTGTGGAGTACCTTCCGCCCTTCCATGCGCCCTTGGGTCCGTAGATGTTGTGTAGGCGGGCAACGCGCATCTCCATGTGGTAGTCCTCCATGTAGTGCTTGCATAGCACCTCACCGTACAGCTTCTCCATTCCGTACGCGTCCTGCGGCCGCGCTGGCCACGCGTCCCCTTCCCTGACGTACATCGCCATCGCCGCACACTCTCGTCAGTTCATTCTCCGTCCGTGTCGTGTGTCGTATTGCGTGTTGTGTGTTGTGTGTTGTGTGTTGTGTGTTGTGCGAACCTGAGCCCAGGGTTGTCTTCAGTCTCCTGCTTGTGCTCCGGGTACACGCACGCAGAAGAGGTGTATAAATATCTACGGACGCAATGCGCACGCGAGGTGAGTGTTGGCCCAGTGACAAGGTGACTTGAGACGTGGCCTTGTTGGTGGTGGTGGCTACCTCTGGACCCCGTTCAGGCGTGAGGCCTCGGCCATGTTAAAGGTGATCATGGTGTTGTTGTAGAGGATGTAGGCCTGGTTGCTCTGGATGTAGCCCATCCCGCCCATGTCAGCCGCGAAGTTGAACACCCAATGGCACCCTTTCGTCACCTCGAGGCAGTTCTCCCGCTCTGTCCCAAATGTGCGCACACGCACTTGCTTGATTAGCACGACACACACGACACACACGACACACAGTACTGTCGGCACCACAACGCACACATACAATACACAAAACAGGAGGGACGTACTCCGCAAGTCGACCTGGTGGAAGACGTCACAGAACTCGTCGGGCTGCATGTAGTCGTTGGTGCGTACGTCGGCACCGACTACGGTGAACCGCCCGGCCGGGTCGTGCTTGAGCCGCCGCGCCATGTGCGAGCCGATAAACCCCGCCGCCCCCGCCACCAGCACCACAATCTTCTTTGTGGGGTGGCCCCCAACCCCGCTGTGGCCGTTGCTGCTGCCGCTGGCGTTCTGAGCACCGCAGTGGGCGCTGCCGTTGTTGAGGTGGTGCGCGTTCATTGTCTCACTGCTGCCGTTCATGACCCTCGCCTGTGCGTCTTCTTCCTCTTGCCACTTCGGGAGCTCAACTCAAAAACGGAGTTTCTTTTCCATTTCCTTTCTACACCCAAAGCGAAAAAGGAAAGTTAATGACCTATATTAGGCAAGTGGAATGCAAAAGGGCGAGTGGAATGTTGTGGCCGTACAAGGGGGCGAGGTGTGGCATCTAGCGCGCAACGAGGAGTTGCCTCAGTCGCTGTCGTAGTCGCTGTCGGTGTCGTCGCTGTAGTCGTGGAGGAAGTTCTGGAAGGCATCGCCTTCCACCGACTCAATGTCGTCTTTTCGCTTCAGCTCAAACAACCGCAACTTATGAAATTGTCGCAGCTATGAACGCACCCGTGTCGTGTGCGGTCGTGTGGTGCGTGTGCGTGTGTTGTGTGTGCGATTGTGTGTCAGCCAATAAAATATGTTGGCAGCTGGGAGGACTGGTTACCAGGACAGTGTCGAAGTATCGAGGAAGGTGAGCGAGGAACAACTTGGTAGCGGTGGGGTTGTGGTTCTCAAAGGCCACCAGCACTCGACTGTCGGGTCGCGACACTCCGTGGAGCGTGTTGAGAAGTGCCATCACCACCTGGCGTCCAGGGCAATCATATTAACGTCCGATGCCGCACACGCACACGCACACGCACACGCACACGCACACAAACAAAAACACACATCACCGCACAAGCAACAGGCTAATCATACCTTAGGCGAGTAGATGAGGTCGGCGCCGAGGACGATGTCGAATCCCGGCTGAAAGGCGGCCAGCTCCGTTCTGCCCCTGCGCGTCCCAGCCATGCCGAGTTGAGAATGAAAAGTGGAAGAAAAGAGGGGTCATAATGCGCGATCGACGCACCAGTGCAGCTCCTTGAGCCTGTAGGTGTGTTTGAAGGGGTCCAGGTTGTGCTCCACGTTCCTATTGGTCCACAGCAACACGCTCTCCATGTCCGTGAACGTCGTGTGCCCACCTGTGCGTGGCGTACCAGTGAGTGAGCATGCACAACCGAGGTGGTGCCTGTAGTATCGTATGCGTCGTGTGTGTCGTGTGTGTCGTGTGCGTCGTGTGTGTCGTGTCGCTCAAGTTCTAGTGTGTCGTATACCGAGAAGAGTGGCAAGGATGCCCGTCAAGCCGCAACCAGATCCTAGTTCGATGACGCGCTTCCCCACCAGGAAGGAGGGTCCCTCCTGCCGCCACAGCTCCTCCAGAAACCGCGCCAGCGCCACGCTCTGTTGTGATGTGACGTAATCAACGAGAACACATGGCACATACGACACGACACACACGACACACGATCGGTCAGTCGCGGTACGCTAAGGCCGCACACGCACGCATGTGTGCAGGCAGACGGAGTGCGCACACTCTTCCACACGGTGAGCCCAACGGTGTTGAGTGCTCGGAAGGAGGTCTGGTGCTGGTACAGTTCTATCGTCAGCAGCTCCCCCACGTCCTCCCGAGCCGGCTGCAGCTCTTGGTGGTCGTCGCCTCCAGTAGCAGACGTGGATGACGTTGGATCGATCTTCGATGCCTCTGCAACTTCTCGATTTTCGTCATCTTCTTGAGATTGCTGGTCAGCGAGGGGGGTGAGGGCGTGTCGCGGAAGGGAGCTGCGGTAGGTGAGCAGCCTGTGTTCGTAAAGGTGGCAGTCGTCCCATATGTCCACTACTTCATCGATGTTCGCTACTTTCGCCTCCGCTTGGGGGACCAGTGGTGGGTCTTCCAACACCGTCGGTGAGGGAGAAGGAACCACCTCCATCTCCAGTAATTTACGATCTTCTGTCCCCTTGGGGTTATATATTTTTATTATTTATTTATTTTTACGTCTTTTATTTTAGCGGCCTGTGCCCCACCTCCACCATTGCCATGGTCTTGCGCAAGAATGTTGTACAGGAAGCCATCATTGGCCAGCTTGATATGATGGTTCCCTGGTCTCCCAGCCTGACGGACCTGGAGTTCGTCAAAGATATCTTGGGAAAAAAACCCGTGACCAACAAGAGCAAGCTCTTCCTTGAGGCACTCACATGATTCACTTATTTGAGGTTTCTTCAGTTCATTAAGCTTCAAGAAGCGATGGAGGAGGAGGGCGGCAAGGTGGTGGTGGCGGGCGTGGGCGACCTGGCACTGGAGCTGTTCCTCCATATCGTGGGCTTCCTTGAGCCGGCCGACCTGGTGCGCGTGGAGGCCGTGCAGCGGGCCTGGGCCGACGCCCTCCGCCATGACGACCACACGTGGCGCACCGTCTTCCGCGCCCACCTCGGCCAAGGCCCCTCCCGCCCCACCACCGCCGCCCGCGGTTCGTTCTTTCTTATTATTATTGCTTATTTTTTATTGCTTCAGCTGAAGCCAGTTGGGGGTGCAGGGTCATGGCGGAGCCGGTGCGTGAAGGCGGCCAGGCGTGCGCACCAAACGGTCAACCGCGCCGACCTCACACCCGAAGCCCGCGCCCTCGAACTCCTTAAGTGCGCACCCATCCCTCGCCGTCATGTCTTCATCTCATCTTAGTTCTTCTTCGCTCTTTGTTGTTCGGTGCAGAGTGGCGTGCGCGTGCGGCCTCCACCGACTGTGTGCGCGTGTGCTAGCGGAAGACAGATACCAGTTCCGGAGCGCAGAGACTTTCGACTACGCCGGCTCGGGCCTGTACCCGCTGCACCTGGCGGTGGCCAGCGGGAGCACAGCCACGGTGCAGGTGCTCGCCGAGGCCGGCTTCAACGTGCACCAGCGCAACTCGTCGGGCGTGACGCCGATCGGCGCCGCCGTGCAGACCGGCCAGCTCGACCTCGTCGAGGTCCGTGCAACCACAAACCTCAACTTACCGTTGCCTGATTTTTTCTGTCGAATGTCGTTGGTGTCGCGTGTGTCGTGCGGCGGCAGGTGTTGTTGAGGCACGGAGCGAGCAGCGAGGAGCTCGCGCAACTTACGGGCGGCGATGGAGGTGGCGGCGGCGCACCGAAGGCCAAGCGCAAGGCCAGGCGCAAGAAAACGCTCCCCGTTATGCATCAGGCCGCGGCCGCCGGTCATACCCAGGTGCGCGAACTCCCTCGTCGCACTTCGAGCCCTGGTTTGTTTTAATGTGTGGAGAAAAGCACAGATCGTGCAGGTGCTTCTCGACCTGGCGCGCCAGGGAAAGGGCACCACCTTACACCGCGACGATGAGAGCGCTGACCACGGAGCTGATGCTGACAGTAGCGACGGCAAAGATGAGAGCGACGCGAAGTACCTCAACGCGCCCGACCGGTTCGGCAACACGCCGCTGCTGCCGGCCGTGGAAGAGAATCGCGAGGCCATGATTCAATTCCTGGTCGCCAAAGGCGCTGGTGCACACACGACACAACGCACACCAGCCAACCCGGCTTGCTAGCTCACATCTGTCGTATGTCGTGCCATGCTGTGCCGCGTGTGGTGGCGTGTGGGCGTAGACATCAATCATAGTCACAGAATTACCGGCCTAACACCACTGCACTGGGCGGTGCAGCACGACAAGCTTGCGACCGCGCGCCTGCTGCTTGAACTCGGAGCCGCCAACGAGCCCGTCCGTTCCGCCGACCAACGGGTGCAGAGCAGCCAAACATAATCCTCTCCTCTTTCGCTCTTCTCTCTTTCGCTCTTCGTTCTTCTACGATTATGGTTGGCGCTGACTCGGCGATGGCAACAGTACGTTGTGACGGTGCCGCCCTTCGTCATGGCCTGCGAGCGCCAGCTGCCCGACATGGTCCAACTGTTCCTCGAACACTTTGGCCCCGGCATCATGGACGCCGTGGTGCCCCACAGTTCGCTGTCCGTGTGGCTGCTGCGGGTGCTGCAGCTGGGCCAGTGTCGGAAGGAGTTCGCCGAGCTTCTGCTGGCCAAGCGCGCGACCAGCGGCGGGCGTACGTTCCACTAGCCACACGCTTGGCATGGATTTCGTTGTCAGACCATAAACACAATGACGCACGACACGACACGCATGAGTCGTGTGTCGCCCACTCAGTCGTGAGCGCGCGGCGTGCGGAGGAGCAGGGCGGGAAGCGAGCCTCGGTCGGAGATGCCGTTGAGGCCCGACCCGAGGCACTTGCGCGCGGCCACCAGCGAGGCCAGAGCCAGGAGCTGCGGCAGGCTCAGCCCGCGCACCAGCCCGTAGCACACGCCGCCCACGAACACGTCGCCCGCGCCTGTGGTATCGACGATGCTGGCCGGATTGAGGGGGTAGGCCGGGCAGTAGTGCACCTGGGCGTGGTGGTCGGTGTCGCGAGCAGGCCGATAGCAGAAAGTGTGCACCAGCAGACCCAGCGCGCAGTCGGCCTCGCGCTGCTCCTCCTCCGTCGCGCTCGCCAGCTCGCCGTCGCCATCGCCGTCGGCCGCGGCGTTGCCAAAGGCCCACATGCGCTGCCACTTGACCTCGACGTCCTCGTACTTGGGCACGCGCGTGAGCAGCTCGTCCATGTTGCGGACCTCGCCCTTGCCCTCCTCCTCGTCGCTTTCGGGTCTGGTAGTGGCCTCCGCGTCGGCGTCGTCGTTGGGGGCGTGGGCATGCGGCCGCCGCATGAGGAGGCTGCCCTGGCTGCCAAGCGTGGCGATCACGAACCGCACGCGCGGCAGAGCTCGCAGGAGGCTCGCCATCGCCGCCAGCAGATCCGTCTCAGCGGTTCTGCATCGATCACATTCAGGACACTCGACACACACGACACACACGACACACACACGGAGCAAAGACCTTTTGAGGAGGTGGTCGCTGTTAAGGACGAGGTAATCGGTGAGGGTGATCATCTTCTCGGCCTGGTCTAGCTCCTCATCAAAGTCCGTGAGCACGGGGATGCCGCGCTAGAGAGACACACCGCGGCGTTTGAGTGAGTGGGTGAACGGTCAGAGGCCGCAGTCGCGCAGGTGCGTACCTCGATGGCCATTTCCGTCAGGCGGATGCCTGCGTGCGTTTGTCGCCCATCGTTCAGCAATATCGATGCTGTGTACGTGTCGTGTCGTGTCGCGTGTCATCGTGTGTCGTGTTGTTGTCACCATGAGTTATATGTCGTCGTGTGCTGTCGTGAGTCGCAAGCCGCGTGTGAACGGAGGGGCGGAAGCAGAGTACCGCCGTCGAGGAAGGAGGATTCGATCTCGTTGGGCGCGAGCAGCTCGGCGGGCGTGTGGAGGATCGTGCGTGTGTGAGTCACCTCGTCGACGATGATGTAACTGAACGGCGAGTTGCCCTGCACCCGCCGCCGCCGCCGCCCAACACAGACCAGTCAGTTGGTTGGCCACACAACGATTGCCCGACAGAGGTGGGCGGGCGGGCGCGGGCGGGCGGTACGGGGCTGATGGAGACGCGCGAGGTGTCGATGGCGCGCTCCCTGCGGAGAGTCTCGAGGATCTGCCGGCCGATCTCGTCGTTGCCCAGCTTAGTGATGAGCCGGCCCGCCACGCCCAGCCGACTCAAGCACACCAGTCCCTGCAGCGCATTTCCTACACACACACACACACACACACACACACACACACGCCACAGCACGACACGCACGGCATACGCAGTCAGCGCACTCAAGAGAGGAAAGGAGCCCAATGCGGGGGGGGGTTGTACCGCCTGGTGAGGTGAAGAGTTTGGTGGTGCGCATCTTGGCGTCGGGCTCGGGAAACGAGGCCACATGTGCGAGATAGTCTTGTGGCCCACAAGGGTGGGCGCAGAACCAGAGACAGATTAGTGCTGACTGTAGAAGGGCTTGGGGGGGGGGGCAAAAAACAGGAAAAAAGGAATGATAACACATCACACTGCGCATTGCCGTCTGTCGTGTGAACGATGCCGCACCAATGCAGGTCGAGCCGGTGGCGACAACCAGTGGCTGCTGCTTGTGCATCTTTTTGTTCTTTTTACACGTTTTGTTTTTCCTTATTTTGTTTTTCCTTTATTGCACTCGTATTCCTTGCATACCAGCAGCGCCAGTTTAGGCACAGAACGAAGCGACGAAGGACAGAAGAGCGAAGCGCGACGCGGAAGAGGCCGAACTCTCGACGGCGGTGGCCGAGAGAACGTCAAGCTGGTCGGTGTAGCTGCGCTCGGCGCCCTCGTAGATCGAGCCGGGTCGCGCCCGTGGCCCACATGCTCGCTCCGCCGGCAAGTGTGAGCTTGCGCCACTCGCCCGACTTCACGTGGTAGACGTCGACCGCGTTGGAGGTGTCCTGATAGATGATGTCGACGTTGATTGTGTAGGCCGCCTTCTTCAGGCCCGCAGCGAAGAACACAAAATCCTTGGTCGCCACGGCGGTGATGTAGCCGCGGGCGCCGCTAGGCAGCTTGGAGGTGGTGCGCTTGCCGGTGGCCACGTCAAAGATGTCAACACGGTCGGTCAAGGTGGCGGTGGCATTCTTGTTCTCGGAGTCGATGTTGAACTGGGTAATGCCGCCAGCGATGATGACCTGGCTGCAGGCGCCCGCGGCGAAGGCCTTTCGACAGGGTGTGCGCGGTGTGTTCAGTCTGAATAGCGCAGTTGGCGTCGACCGTGATGACTTCGATGGTGTTGGGGAGGTGAAGTCGCCCTGTACGCCGCCGGCGAACCAGGCCGCCTGGGGCAGGGGATGCCGGTCAAACTAGCCCTGGCCTCGGACAGTGCGAACGAAGCGGTGGTGTTGTCGGTGGCTCTCATCGCCACGCCAACTGCGACATTTAAAATGCATGGCCGCACGCGCACCACCGCACACTCACACACACAAAGGAGTCCAGGCGCGAGGGAAAAGCCACCCTTCACTGTGGTGGTGAGGTCGACTACGGTGGGGCTGCCGTGGTGCGGCTGGCGAGGTTGATCTTGAGGAGGTCAGCGGTCGCACACAGTCACGGCACCGAACTGATCACCGGCATCGAACGTGGCGGCGAACAACAACATGTTGGTCGTGATCTTGTAGATGGTAGCGGCGGAGGTGGCCAATGCCAACAGGCTACCTTCCCTCACCAAGTGAAGGACTGCATTGTGGTTGAGAGAGGGAGAGTGTCGAACCTGGTGTAGTTGTCCTATTTGAGCCTCTCGCAGCCAGTGCAACAAAAGGGTGATTTTCGCCACAACGAGTTGGGGAAGCAGTTTTTGCCACCCAGGGGCGGATGGCCGAGTGGTCTAAGGCGGCAGTTTTAGGCACTGTTATCTCCGGATGCGTGGGTTCAAATCCCACTCCGCTCAGTTTTTTGTTATGTTGTTTCCCGCGCCCCTTCTGGCGCTACGCAAGAGAAGAAAGATGCAACGAACAAAACTGTTTTTGCCGTGTGGTACATGAGTGTCGGTGGCGCAGTGGGGGTTGGTGATGACGGTAGTTGACGAGAGGCGTAGCGTGCACGCGCAGGGCTTAGTGCTTGGGGGCGGCGGCGGCGTGCTTCTTGGCCTCCTTCTCGAGCCACTCGGTGGTGACGGACTTGGGCCTCTCGATGGGGAGACCGAGGGCGCGGTCGAGCACCAAGCTGGGCAGAACGCCGAGGGCGCGCGACACGCCGAAGAGGACGGTGTAGTAGTTCTCCTCCTTCAGGCCGTAGTACTGGAGGAGCACACCGCTGTTGGCGTTGATGAAGACAAAGCGGCGTGAGCATGACAAAGACAACCAGACAGAGGCAAAGTGAAGGAGGCTGCAGCGAAGGTTAGAAGCGGCAAACGAACCTGTGAGCGTCCACGTTGGGCCACGGGTTCTTGGTCTTGCCCTGCTCAGTGAGCACGGGGGGCACGACGGCGTAGAGCTGCTTGACGAGCTTGACGAGGGGATCGTTGGGCAGGTACTCAGAGGCGAACTCGGCCTGAGCGGTGAAGCGAGGATCGGTCTTCCTGAGCACAGCGTGACCGAAGCCAGGGATGACCTACACAACAACAACGACAGCAACGCGTTAGGACGTGGTGATGATTGCGCGTGCGAGAGTGGAGTAGAAAGAATGTGCAAGCAGCAGTAAGTACCTGGCCAGAGTTGAGGAGATCCCAGAGGGCCTTCTTGAGCTCCTCGTCGGTGACCTCGCGGCCGCCGAACTTCTCCCTCAGCTTGAGGATGAACCTGAGGACCTCCTGGTTGGCAAGACCGTGGAGGGGACCGGCGAGACCGTTGAGGCCGGCGGAGAAGGAGAGGTAGGGGTCGGAGAGGGCGCTGCCGACGAGGTGGGTGGTGTGGGCAGAGACGTTGCCGCCCTCGTGGTCCGAGTGGAGGACGAGGTAGAGGCGCATGAGGTCGACGAACTCCTTGTTCTCGAAGCCGAGCTGGTGAGCGTAGTCAGCACCCATGTCGAGCTTGGGGTCGGAGGGGATGAGCTTGCCGCCGTGGTAGACGTTGCGGTAGATCTCAGCGGCGGTCCTGGGCAGGAAGGAGATGAGGTTGAGCATGTCCTCGTAGGCGTACTCCCAGTACTTGGCCTTGTTGACGCCCTCGAGGTAAGCCTTGGCGAACTGGCTCTCGGTCTGGAGGGCGTTGACACCGATGGTGAACTGGGTCATGGGGTGCATGGTGGTGGGCAGGTTCTTGAGGATGTGCGAGACGTGAGCGGGGAACTTCTTCGAGCGCTCGCTGATCTCGTGGACGAGGTTCTGCGTCTGCTCCTCGGTCGGGATCTCGCTGGTGAGGAGGAGCCACAAGAGGGCCTCGGGGAGCGGCTGCTTGCCGTCCTTGGCCTTGGGCAGCTTGGCCTGGCACTCGGGGATCGAGTAGCCCCTGAAGCGGATACCCTTCAAGATGGGAAAGGAAATGCGTTCGAAAATTAAGCAAACCGCTAAAATTCAACGATCAAGAAAATCTTGCCAAATGTTGAGCGATTGAACTAAGAAAGGGGCATACCTCCTCAGGGTCAAGAAGGGAGGTCTCAGTGACGAGACCCTTGATGCCGCGCATACCTCCGTAGGCCTGACAGAAGGGAGAAATCGTTAAAATCGAATCAAGTAGCCAGATCGTCTTGTCGGGCAGCTGCGCTTACCATGCTGAGCGTGACCTGACCGAGAGGAAGATCGCCATGCTCGGTCTTGAGCTTCTTGACGCGAGCCTGCTCCTTGGGGACGATCTCGCTGAACTTGTCCTTCAAGCTCTGTTAATTGCGTAGGCAAACGCGATTGGAGCCGGTCAGAACAAAGGCACAAGATCTCTTACTGGTCGTGCACTTCGTATCGCATAGAAGGACAGGAGTAGACGCGAAGATGGAGCGTTGATCCGGAAGAAGATCAAAATGTGGAATGAAATGAATGGGCACACGAACCGCGGTGGCGTAGAGGCGCTGGCTCTGGGCCAGGGCGCGGGCCTGAACGGCGACGGCAGCGGGGCTGGCGGCGGACTTGGTAGCGATAACGGTAGCGCGGCGCATTGTGTTGTGATTCTCTTGAAGGGACGACGAGAAGGCAAAGAAGTTGTGGAGGTCGCAAGCGCCAGCAAACGCGGAGGCCGAACATTTTGCCCAGAGCCTAACGTCCCGACTCAACGGCTGTTCACAGCGAATTTCGCCATCATCCAACCATAATCAATTAACTTTCCGAGAATTCGGCCATTTCCACCACTCATAAATCAGACAAGTTAAAAGTGCTCTTCAGTTGTGCGGTTGGCCGCCGAAACGGCGTTTCTATCCCCGTCTATCGTCCGACAAAGAAGAAAGGCCGTAGGCCGCAGCTGCTTGCAGGCTTTTGGCGTGGGATCACTTGTTGACCGGGGTGACGCAGCACTGGAGGGGCGGACGCGTGGTCCAGTGGTCGGCCAGGCCTTGCACGGGATGGGCATCGAGGTCCTTCCTCGCCTCACGAATCTTCTCAGAGTCAACGCCGAGCCTCTGGTCCCTGTGGGCAAACAGCTCCGGCTTCCACTGCTCTGTGCGCGTGCAGACCTGCGGGTCCAGAAATAGGCGTGCAGTGGGCATCAATGTTGAACACGTGAGCACGAACAAGCGTAGAGTGGACGCACCATCATCAACTGAGGAGGTCCGAGAGGGAGGACGTCGCCCCTGTCCACCTGCCACATCAAGAAGGTCTTGCCGTAGGTGTTTGCCAGCTCCTGTGCAAGCGGCCGCTGCATGGTCTCAGGCAAACCGGGAGCGATGAAGCTTGCTGCAGCCAACAAACGGGTCGTGAACACACATCGCACCAAAGCGCAGAGCAAGAAAAAGTGACATGTGTGTACCACTCTTGATGTCAGTGGCGTGGCTGTGCCAGTAGATCTGCTCCTCCTCCGGGAGCGACCTGAACAGGCGCTCGCTGATCACGTACTCAACGCCAAGGAGGCGGGCGTCGGACTTGTCGCTCTCATAGACCGCGCACTGCGTGACCTCGTCGTTGACTCGGCTGCAGTAGTGGTGCAACTCAACCTTCAAACATGACACACACAACACACGATACACGACACACAACGTGTTAGCTGCGCACCTTCAAAACATGGTGCGTTTACATCAGGTACCTGCCGATCCAGCTGGCCATTGTAGAAGGCGAAGCCCGAGAGGTGCATGTCAATCTGCTTGACGGGCGCGAAGCTCTGCATCATGCCCGTTCCCACCTCCATGATCTTGTGCTGTTGTGGGCGTGTCAAACACTGGCACTTGCACAGTGGACACAAAGCAAGAGCAGGCCGGGGATGACCGTGTGCGCACCATCGTCGTCTTGCCCTTCCCGGGCGTGTCCGAAGGCAGGCTCTTCTGTTCCTGCGGGGGTACTCCGGGTATCTGTGTGCTCATCTTTGTTGCAGTTGTGGGTGCCTAAGTCTGCGTCTGTTTCGTATCCTCTGTGCGCTTATGCTGTTGGGTACACTTGTGTGGCTCTGCACGGCCAGCAGAGGCACGGAGCACCGACCCCACACGTTTGACTCCAGCTTGGCGAGCCGCCGAGCACCAACTGAAAGAAGAGAGGCAAATCGTTGGGCGGCTGTGTGCGTTGCGTTCGGCGGAAGTCGTGGGTTGTGGTCCTGACCAACTGCAGAAAGGCCCACAGAAATGTGCGGCACGTGACCACCCACTGGTCAGCCCTCGCGCAGAGAGTTTTCAGGCACGCGCCCTTTGCTCCCTTGAAGGACGTGACATACTTGGAACGAGAGCGCGCCTTTCTTCTCGAAAGTTCGCGCCATCGCCCAGCCCAACAGCCACAGAACACGCAAAGGCCGTGGTCAATCCTCGCTTTTTCCCGGCACACCACCAACGGTACACTGTCGACCCCCGATGTCCGGATATTGCCGGCTTCCGCGGTTGGGCTCCAGCCCAGCACGACGGTGAGGTCTTGGGCCGGCCCAGATCCCAACCGCCGCGCATTGGCCGACAATGAACATTCCCGGTTATTTCTGGAACTGAAGGCATGGCCCAAGAGCCCCACGGAGCAGATGATGACGGCCTTCCCGCTTCCTGGCTTCCGCGATGCCGTCATGTCCGCCGTCGTCAGCGAGCGACCTGAAGTGTCAATAAAAAGGTGGAGACAACGGCCTTTCTTCTATTACTCTTGCATCCATCGACCTCCGCGCCACACACTCCAGCCGCACTTTCCCTCTCTCTCTTTACACTTCCACCACTACTCTTCTTTCCCGCCCAAGATGCTCGAGGGATTCATCCTTACCAACTACTGGCACACGATGAAGGCGAGGATGGGCACTGCCCAATCTTCGGCCGGACCTGCCGGACCCTCGACCCACCCACCGGCGGCGGCCGCGAGGAGGGCGCACGCGCCCTACCCGAGCCATCCCTTCCTCAAGTAGAATTCGGAATTCATCGAGCGACTTCATCTCTTTCCATCTCTCTCTTTTCCTTCGGCGACCCGCGGCGGAGCAGGACTCTGGACTTCGGCGAAGCCCGAGCCCCGCGACGCAGTGCGCCATCGATGACGAGAAGGAGAGTGCGGAGGAGGAGATCGACGATGAAAGAACGAGGAGGAACGAACGACGAGGAAGGATGACAGAAACTTTCTTATTTCTTATTTTTTTAAACTTGACGAACGAGCAGAGAGGACGCATCGACGATTTGTACATTCCCAACGACGATCGTGTACCATTATCTATTTATTTATTATTTTATTATTGTTAATTCGATTTTCGGAGAGGAGAGGAGGAGAAAACGGAGGCCGACAGCGACGCGACACTCGAAGACGACGACGACTGATCTTCTCGTGCGGTTGAGAGCAGCCATCATCGAGAACCGTGCCCCCCGGTGCCAACCTTCCGGCGTCTCCCATCTCCGACCGAGTCGAACCTAACAATCTAAAGACAACAATAAATCTACTCTTGCTTGCACGCTTGGCTGTCGAGGCCCTCTTTTGGTCATTCGAAACTACCAGTTCAGCCAATGGTGGGCTCACGCCGTTTGGCCAGAGAAACCTAACGGAGTTTTGAATAACTGACAGGGGCAGCAAGAAGAAGCAAAACTCTCTCTTCTTTCATGCTATTCATGTTAGATCGACTCGCTCACCACGTCAACGGTGGTGGGCAGAGCCACGAGTCCCGCTCCGCTGGGAACTGACAGCAACGACGAGGGCGAGGCTCCAGGCCGGGGGCGGCAAGAACAGTCCCCGGGGAACGACCAGGCGTCGCACGTCGAAGAAACGAAGGAAGGGAGCAGGGGACACGAGTTCGGGTCCCAAGCCCGACACGGTGTCCAGCGAAAGCGACGAACAACAGCAGCAGCAGCAACAAAGCGAAAGTGAAGCGGGAGGGGGTGACGCGGAAGAGTTCGAGCACGACCGGCAAGCTCCACGTGGAGATCACGCGCGGAGTGCGTACACAGGCCCAGCCTCGGACTCGCTCCGTGTGATCGCACGCCACCCGTGACTCCATCATCCTCTGCGTCAGCTTCGTCCTCGTTGGACGAGCGCGACACGCGACACGCGTTGAGCGCCAGCACCAGCGCCAGCCGCCAAGAAGGAGCTGAAGGTTGCTGCCGGTGGTGCGAGGCGAGGCGGATAGCCAAATCCCGGGTCCTTGCGTCGACCCTGCGGATGGCGACCGCCGCGCTGGTGGTGCACAGCGCGGGGAGGCACTGTCGGCGCCGGCGGGGTGGTGACGATTCAAGGTCTACCTAAAAAAGATAATAAGAGTCTATTATTTTTTATTATTGTTTAATTTGGTTTGGGGCGCCTACTCACACTTAGGGCTGGACGACCGAGTTGGTGGAGAAGATGGGCTCCCAGTTGGCGCAGAAGTTGGACTGGAGGAAGGGCACGGTTCGCGTGGGCGGGTTGAGGTCGGCGTCGGTCTGCTCCCAGAGGAAGCGACGGGCCTGTTCTTCTTGTACTTGGGCCACTCGCTCGAGTCGGGCTTGCCCTTGTCGGCGATGCGCGACCAGGCGGCGATCATGCGCGACGCCAGCGCGTAGTCGGACGGCGCGAACGCGTAGGGCGTGTAGACGGTGGCGTTGAACACGTAGGGCAGCTCGTTGCCGTGGGCGGCCTGGAGGAACTGTCGGGGTAGTTGGGGCTCGTGTAGTTCCACAGGAAGGCGTAGGTCGGGCCGTGCTTGGCGAAGTAGGGCGCGGCCAGGTTGTCCGCAGTTAACGTAGAAATCCCCCAACAACTGCGCCTCGCCATACCAGTAGCCGACGGCCGCGGTGTGGGCGGCGTACCAACCGAACACGTTGTCGATCTGCTCGTCTGTCAGCCAGAACCGCAGGCTGTTGGTCTTGACGACGCGGATGTAGTCGGCCTCGGTCAGGTTGGCGCTCGGGGGCTTGTAGCTGTTGCGCGAGAGGGCCAGGTAGTTGCCCTCGTCGGCCGTATAGCCGATGATGACGTTGACGTCGGTGTTGTACTCGCCGCGCTTGACCAAGTTGTAGGGCTGGTCCGTCAGGAAGATGCCGTCGACCGACGGCTGGAAGTAGTTGACGTAGCCCGAGGTCACGTTCTTCACGGGCAGGGCGCGCATGCAGGCCAGCATGTCGGCGCTCGCGGTCTGGTTGCAGCCCTTGCTGGCGGCGAACTTGATCGAAGCCGACAGCTGCTGGGCCAGCGTGGGCATCACCCACTGCCAGGTCGAGTGCAGGATCACGTTCTCGGCGTACTCGAGGTAGGCGCCGGGGTTGGTGTACTTGTGCACCATCGTGTGGAGCATGGCCGCGTTGCCGCCGGCGCTCTCGCCGAAGAGGGTGATCTCCTTGCGGTCGCCGCCGAAGTTGGCGATGTTGTTGCGGACCCACTCGACGGCGAGGATCTGGTCCTGGAAGCCCACGTTGATGCTGCCGGCATCCACGAGCTCCGGGGTGGCGAAGAAGCCCAACGTGTTGAGGCGATACTAAAAATTATATGTCCGACGGGTCACACGCCGGTACCATATTAGAACAAATACTAAAAAAATTGACACCGGAGAATTACGAATTTAATCACTTGAATATGTTAAAAATGAAGCGAGGTGGTGTGGGTGCATACCTGGATGGTGACGAGGACAACGTTGCCATTGCCGGCGAGCCACTGGCCCTGGTACTGGTCGGTCTGGCCGGCCCAGTAGCGACCGCCGTGGATCCACACCATGACCGGCAGCTTATCTCCGGCCTTGGCGTTCTTGGGGGTGAACACGTTGAGGTAGAGGCAGTCCTCCACGCCGACGGTCGATGACTGGATGCAGGGCTTGGGGAAGGCCGTCGCGTTGTAGACGCCAGTCCACGGCGCCGCGGGCGTGGCCACGCCGAAGCGCTTGGCCCCGAGCGGCGGGTCGGCGAACGGGATGCCGAGGAAGGCGCGTGCCAGGTCGTTCTGCACGAAGCCCTGGACGAGGCCCGACTCGGTGGGGACCACGAGCACGGGCGAGCTGTTTTTGGAGGCTGTGGCCACCACGGCGCAGAGGGCCAAGGCCAAGACGAGCGCGCTGAAGGGGACAGCGGAGCGCATCAGGGGAGAGTTGTTGATGGGTGGTGTTGATGGTACAAAGGTGAGGGAAAACAAAAGACAAGAGGAAAGGCCAACGGCTTTTTTTATGTTCATGGCGTCGACCCGATACGTGTCGCTAGCTCCGTCACGAGCCAATGGTGCACCCGCAACTGTTGGCTCTTTTTTGCAAGCCAATGGGGTAATGATATGTTATATCATGTGCCGATCAGACTACCTCATTTGCCAAAAGTATGCGACAAGACTCCTCTTGTTTCACTTTTGTTTATTTTCTAAGAGAAATATTTATTTATATATTTATATATTGATGGACCCGTTGGAGGTGTTGCCCGAGGAGGTGTGGCTGCACCACGTGCTGCTGGCCCTCTTCGCACATGACGACAGCGCTAGCGCGCCGTCTCTGCTGGGCCACAAGGCCGTGCTGGCCTGCGCGGGCGTGAGTCGCAACTGGCGTCGGCTGGCCCTCGATCAGGCCCAGTGGCGCACTGCGGTGTGGAAACAATGGGGCACCGACCTGCTCCCACTGCCCGCCTCCAAGTCCCCCCTTCTCTGGGCGCCTCCCCACAGCCAGCCCCCAACGACCGAAACACAGCTTAACTCACATCAGGTACTCCTTTCTATCATTTCTATTTATTTTTGATTTTTTTATTATTTTATATTTATTGTGTATTTTTATTATACGTTACTAAAAAGTTGTAGGACCCAGCGGGCTGGCACGAGTTCTTCTGGGCTGCGCACCGGGCGCTGCGGGGAATGTCGAGGGGAGCGCCCGGTTGGGAGGATTGCGCCGTGCGTTTCGGATTGATGGGCGCCATCAGAGACCCCCTCGATCGCAACAGCGACATCGACTGCTGGGCGTCCTGCTTCTTCGCCGCCACGCGCTGGAATCGTGCCGATGTGTTCGCGCGACTGGTCACCATGTGCGAGGCGCGTGGCGGCTTTGCGCTGGTGTGGCGGGCCTTCAGCCACGGTGTGGATCTGCAGTGGGGCGACGGTCACCAGCACAGCCTCATGCATGAGGCCATTCGTAGCGGCTCTGCAGAGATCTGTACGCACGACACACGACACATGATGCACGCTACACACGCGACAGAGCTAACACACCGCTTTGGGCAGTGCGCACTCTGTTGCGGTACTATGGAGACACCAATCGTGGTCTTCTGTTGATCTGGTGCGCCCAGGGCAACGCACACGGCAAGGAGGTTCGTGGCTTCTTCGAGTCACTAACTAGCCTCAGCCTCGTAGCTGAAGCGTGCAGTGTGTGTGTGTGTGTGTGTGTTGGCGGGTGTTCAACACAGGATCTAGTGGAAATGGTGCTCGAACCAGAGCGAAACAGACATGCGGTCACCCACCAGGTCTGCAAGCAGGGCCGGGATGCCCTCATCACCGCTTGCCTCCACAACGACTTCAAGCTGGCCAAGCTTTTCATTCAAGTAAGACCAATTCAGTTCCCACTGCACTTTATTATGACTGACGACTCTCGGGATGGACGCAGTATGGCGCTGATGTGAACAAAGTGCGCCCCTCGGGCGACACGCCCCTCTCTTGCCTCGCCCGCTGTGGTCGATTGGAAGGTGAGCTTCACATCACTGGCCTAGCTTGCGCGTGACGCTTACGGGCACGCTTATGGTTGACAGCTGCGCGCTGGCTGATTGGCGAGGGGGCGCGAGTACCGGAGAGCTGCCTGGTACAGTATTGTGGCGTCGCTGGTGGTACTGTCGAGGTGGTGCGTTAGGAAAAAACACCCATTACCCACCATCACCCTAAGTGGCTGCTTGCTTCTCACCTCCGCTCTGCACTCACAGGTGGAGCTGTGGATTTCCGCGGGCGCCAACGTGAACGCCCTGGACACCCACGACGCTACGCCCCTCCACAAAGCGGCTGAAGCCAACAATCACCAGGTACCTGCCCATCGCCATCCCCTTTCTCATCGCTCTTAACCATTTCCCCTCCTCCGTGTCGTTGGTCGTGTCGTGTCGTGGCGCGCTGTGCGTTTCAGCTGATCCACACACTAGTAAAGCATGGAGCTCACACCGATGCGCGAAACAAAAGCCAGCGCACGCCACTGCACATAGCGGCCAAGCGTGGTCACAGCGCCACCATCCGCGCTCTTCTCGGTACGCATCACGCACGTCCCGTTTGTTTTGGGGCTCGCCTGCCGACCAACTCACAATCGCTTCGCTCTGTGTGCGCTGCCGGACCAGATGCGGGCGCGGAGGCCTCGGTGTGGGACGCACGCGGGCGTCGGCCGCTGGACCAGTTGGCCGCCAGCGTCCATCCAGTGACACGAAAGCTCCTTGCTGACCGAACGAGTGCGCCCGAGGCTCAAGCTCCACCACCGACCAGTGCTGCCGCCACCGCCGATGGCGATGACGATGACAATGGCGATGACGAAAGCAGCCTCAACATCTGGTGAATCAGTCCCCATTTTTATTTGTACACTTTACTGCAGCCTTCTTGTGGTTGGCTGCGGCTCAACCAATTTAGGTCTGTAGGGCCACTGCCTTTGCTTGTGTTCTGCCTCTGGTGAAGATGAAGAGTGTCGGCTTGTTGGTGGGCGGGCTGGTCGTGCTGCTCGCCTTTGCCGCGTGGAGCGCGCATAGTTTGGAGGGCACGGCGACTGTTTACTACGACCCGGCCACCAAGCACATCTACCTGCTTCCCGGTCGCGTCGATCTCCGTCACGGCGCTGCCGTCGGCGAGTACCACGATCACATCGAAAAGGATGGTGCGAAGACATCATGCATCTTCAAGATCCGATTTCATCAATCGTAGAATGTCAACTCATCATCTTCTCAATGATCTTTCACTAGGCTGGGGCAAGTTGAGCATCGAGGGCAACCCTCTCCACGAAGATGAAACCCAGATGTTCGCCGCAGGTGCGCTGCCCACCTATTTTATATTTATTTATTTATTTATTTTCTAATTTCTGCACAAACGAAAAAGGTTATCTGGAGGGCGCGATGACGCAGAAGCGCATCTACCAGCAGTACACCAACATCCACTCCGTGTTCTGGCACAACGCAACGACCATCCCGGCCTCGCTGCAGGCCTGGCTCAAGGCGCAGGTTCGTGGTGGCCCTCTTCATGGACCGCTTCTTCTCACAGCGATTCTGATCTCACATTCCACACTCGTCGGCGTGATCGGTACGAACGTATGACCTGATCCGTCCAGGACAAGTGGGTGCGGGACAACGCGGCGGAGAAGAGGGCCGCGGACCCCTACTGGGGCCAAGTGGCCAACGTCCTGGCCCAGTTCGATGGCCTTGTCAAGGGCTACAACGATTTCGCCCCGGTTGCCGAGGTCTCTCCACTCTTTCCCCCTCGTCCTTAAATGTGTGCTGACTCTCGTGCCACGCACGCACTGCACATCACACACTCTACACACCACCCACACACCCACACACCAACAGAAACTGGACTCTCTTGCTTTTTCGATTCTCAGTGGCGTTGGTGATCTACTGGACCTCACCACCGCCTTCCGTGACGAGGTACTTCGTTGTAATCTGTGATTACTTAAAGGTTTCTTTGCTCTTCTCGCGACCATGTGTGTTTAGCCAATCGCCAAATGTGGTGCCTGCGCAGGCCCTCCCTGGCCGCCCTCCTCGCAATATGATGAGTGAAGATCAATTGCGCAACTGGGTGTACAACACCCATTGCTCGGCGCTGATCAAGGTCACCGGAGATCTCTCGGACATCTTCGCCGGTGCGCACCGCATTCCGTTCACCCCATTCCCACACACATGCGAGAGCTCACTCGTCTTGTTGTGTGTGTGTGTGTGTGTGTGTTGTGTGTGTGTTGTGTGTGTGTGTGTGTGTGTGTGTGTGTGTGTGTGTAGGTCACACGGCCTGGTTCTCGTACGAGTCGATGCTCCGGATCGCCAAGTCCTACACCCTGCCGCTGTCCAACCCCTCCACCCAGTCCAAGAGCGTCATCTTCTCTTCGTACCCGGGCTTCCTCGTGTCCCTTGACGATTTCTACATCACCGACAAGTGCGCTTAGCCACGATCTTGAGAGCCGTGTGTGCAAGTGAGCCAATGACTCAGTCTGATTGTGACACGACACACGCCAGGGAATTGGTGGTGATCGAGACCTCGCTCTCGGTCTTCAACGAGAGCCTCTACACCATCGTGCGGGACAACACGCAGGTGCTGCTCAGTTGGCAGCGCACCATGCTGGCCAACAGAATGGTACCTAGTCCCGTTGACCTTAAGGCCTTGCGAGGCTGGGTAGCATGGCTCACCACCTCTCTCCCTCTTATTGCAGGCCAGTTCCGGTCCGCAGTGGGCCAGCACCTACTCGAGGTACCAGAGCGGGACGTACAACAACCAGTGGATGGTTCTCGGTACGTCGTTTATAGGTAAATCGCATTGCACCAACAACTCACGCACGCGACTGTGCAGACACCAAGCGCTTCGAGCAGGGCGTGCAGCTGAACCCCTACACGCTCACCATCCTCGAACAGATCCCCGGCTACATCCAATGGTATGCTTCTCATACCCTTGGCCAACCATATTTATTTTATTTACTCTTTTTTATGATACGCAGGGACGACCAGACGAGCATTCTCGCGGAGGGCTACTGGCCGTCCTACAATGTCCCCTTTTACCCGCGCGTGTACGAGGCCGCGGGCTACGTGGAGATGGCCCAGAAGCAGCCGGTCATGGCCAGCTACCAGCACTGCTGCCGCGCCAACATCTTCAGAAGGTGGTCGCTTCCTACCCTATTTTATGTCCGAACTGTGGGTAACTTATCGGACACTCACATCATCAACAAACGGCTTGATATGTTTATGTCCGACCGGTCACAGGGATCAAGGCAACGTCACGGACTTTGAGGCGTTCAAGTCCATCCTCCGCTACAATGACTGGCAGAACGATCCCTATTCCCAGGGCCACCCCGGTGCGGCACATCGTGTGCGTGTCGCATGTTCGGTCGCGCTGACGCATCTTGGCCAACCACACAGGCTATTCGATTGCCGCTCGTTTCGATCTGGAGAAGTCCAATCCTTCGCCCGAAGGCGGCTACGACACCAAGGTACACCGACGCCACCCACTCTCCTCAGCGTTCCGTATGTGCCGTGTGTGTTGCGTTGCATGTCGTGTCGTGTGCGTTGCGTCGCGTCGTGTGCCGCTCATGACTTGATTTCTTGTGTATGGCCAGGCCACATCCTACGCCCGAGTGAAGCAGATGAAGTTCGAGGCCATCAACGGACCCACCTACCAGGAGCAGCCCGTATTTGCTTGGACCAGCCAGTGGGACGCCTACTCGCACGTCGGCCAGCCGCTGCGGTTCCACTTCCCCTTCGTCACCATGCAGCCCGCCCAGTTCCAGTGAGCTCAAAGGTCCTGTGGTCACCACCCAAACACCATGTGCTAGGCCGCTGCAACAGAACATAGTGATTTGCGTTACGCTTGTGCGTGCCGCGGTATTTAACCAACATGGCTTGATTACGTCGAACATGTTGCAGTCCTGATGGTGGTGTAGAATGTTTGTTTTTGGGGTTGGTAGGGAACCGCTCAGCCCCTCGGAATAGAGGAACGAGCAGGCCACCACTTTAAGTGATGTAGACTATGAACCGGAGATATAATTCTGCGGTTGGTAATGCCAGTACTGGCCAGCCGCCTCGCTACTGCAACTCTTGACCTTCTTCGTCCATTGTGGGACGCTCTTTACCTTTGGCTGAACTGACACACTCCGAGCAGCAGGGAAAAAGAAAGAACGAAAAGTTGGAATAAAAGTTCAAATAAAGAACGAAAGGTTGAGAGAGGTTCACTGCGGTGGTCCCACAGGAGAGGGAGAGGTGTGGTTGGCCATGCACATCACCACGCAACACTTGCTCCCCAACGTCTGTCAGAGGATAGAGAGTGAGTGTGGCGCTCCGAAGTTAGTGGCACACTAAAAAAGAAAGAAAACGAAATCGAAAATGAAAAAAATGGCAGTTCGCGCGTATTCGTCAGAGGATGGAAGAGGATCAAGCGAAGAGCCCAGAACACCAAGCGAAGAGGAAGAAAGAGAAGAAAGAGAAGAAAAAGAACGAAAACGAGACCCAGATGGAAAAGAACGAAAGCGCTGGTGACGTGGGCGATGAGGAGACCACCCCCAAGCCAACGGTCGCGAAAGTGCCACAGCTGGTGAAGCGTCGCACGCTGCTCGTCATTGGCGGCAAGGCCTCCATCGACTGGCCGGCAGTGTTCAAAGGCGCCACATTGCACGCTGGACTGGTCGACGTAACCGTTGAAATGGCCTCCTGGGAAGGTACTTTCTAATTGTCCATTTATCTACATTTTCCTTTATTTTATGATAATAATAGAATTCACAAATTAAATAATTCATTTTTTTTGAAAAAATGTAGATATTAGGATGGTGTCATACAGCGACTGCGGGTGCGTGGTGGACATCGCTCCGGCGGGCGGCAGTCGCAAGTCCATCACCCCAGACTTCCTACTCGTCCGCAGTGCCCTACAGGGCGTCTTTGGCCAGGTACCACCGCACACGCACACGCACCATCGCACGCGCACCAGCGCACAGGCACACGCACCACCGCACACGCAGGATAACCGTCGTGGAATTATTGTAGGACTACAGGAACAGGCTCTACGCGTTCATGCACTCCAACGTGCCGTCAGTCAACACCCTGGATTCGCTGTACCTGTGCCAAAACAAGGTACGCTCAACAACAACAACGTCGTACCTTCCCAATCTCGAGCGCCGCGAGTGTAACAAAAAGTAACTCCTACCGCTTGGGTGCAGCCGATCGTCTACGGCAAGCTGAAGGCCATCCAGAAGGTGCTCGGCAAGGATGAGTTCCCGCTCATCGAGCAGGCGTACGTCTCGATTTGACTTCGTCGTGTTGCGCTAAACGCAAACTTTGACTCTGGGCTCTCTCTCTCTCTCCTTTGGTCAGTTGCTATGCGGACTGGAAGGCGATGACCTTCTGTTCGGGCTTCCCCATCGTCGCCAAACTGGGCACCGCTCACGCCGGTGCGCACGCCCCCTCTCATCTCACTTGTTGGCATTTACTCACCGCGCCCCAAATCAAAGGGTTTGGAAAGATGAAACTGAACAGCCAGAGCGAGTTTGAAGACTTTCAGAGCGGTACGTGTCCACGAAGGCGCACTTTCCCTTCTTTTTGATGGTCTTTGTTCTTCGTTCTTCTTTCGTTCTTTTTCCCCCATTTTATGGCGAGCTCGACTCACGATGCACGGGGGTGGACACAGTGGTGGCACTCCAGGATCGCTACGTCACCACAGAGCCGTTTGTAGGTGCGCATCTCACGCCAGCGGCCCTCGCAGCTGCTACTCAATCAAAAAGCACCGCACTCACCCAAACACACAAACGCACAGACTGGGACTACGACTTCAGGATTCAGAAGATCGGCGACAACTACCGCGCGTTCCGGAGGTACGAGAGTCGTATCAGCCTCTCCGGCAGGGTCGTCGGCTTGCTTATTGTTTGCTGCTGACCTCCCGTTCGGTGCGATCGATAGGTTTTCGACCAACTGGAAGGGCAAAGGCTTCAGCCAGAAAGACGAGGACATCCCAGTCACGCCCCAATACAAACGTATACCGCACGACACACACCACACGCCACACACACACATGCACCACCGCACACGCGCCACCGCACGCGCATGTACAAGCTGACGAAAACGAGCGATCAACATGTAAGGTTGGATTGATTTGGCGAGCAAGGCCCTGGGGATGGATGTCTGCGCGTTGGACGGAGTGCACAGCCGGGACGACGGCAAAGAGTACATCCTCGAGCTCAACGACTCGGCCATTGGGCTCAACGCGCGCTACGAGGACGAGGATCTTCTCCACATCCGCGACCTCGTGCTGTTCCGTATGACCCAGGTCTGGCCACATGCACCACTGCACATACACACGCCACCGCACACACATACACGACCGCACACGCACACACACGCACACACGCACGCACACACACGACCGCACACGCACCACGCGCGCGTAGACCATGCAACTAATAAGCTGTGATTGGTGCAGGCGTTCCCCTTGCCCACGAACGAGTTGACTGAGTCACAAGACGCGGACGAAGTAGAAGACGAGGACAGTATCGATGCGCTGAAGGAGAAGATCGCCAAGCTTCAAGTCAAACTCGATCAGGTTAGTTCTCAACCACCACCACCACGTTGAATGAACATAGTGTTGACTGCCTTTTGATCATTTCTTGCTGATGGCTCATCAACCAAACCCTTTGTTCTTGCCGGTGGCCACCTGCAGGTGACGGGCGAGAAGAATGCGCTGCTGGCCGCACAGGCAGAGAAGACGCCCAGCAAGAAGTCGGGTGAGAAGGACAAAGGCCACATGTTTGGCTTTGGGTGGAAGAAGTCAGACAAACACTGACAACACTGGATTCCTTGTGGCAAGGTTCTTCTCTTCAATCAGCAGTTTCTTTCCACACGTGGAAGGGAATGGGCAGTGGGATGAAGATGGCTACATTCCCTAAGCCCACGTCATCGCCATTTTACTTGATCAGCAATCGTGCACGATGTTCCAACGAGACCTCCGCCAATCAGCAATCGACAACAAAAGTGTGTCGGACGAAATGGGATTGGTTGCTCCTGTTCTCCGCCAATCATGACGCAGCGCCAAATACTCAACTTTGCGTGCGCTTTTGACAAAACACACCACAGCCACAAGCTTGAAGCAAACAACCCCATGGCTCACCTCAGCCTCCTCGCCGTCGTGCTGGCCGCATGCTTCTGCCTCACCCTGGCTTCCTTCAATGGTTCGTTATATATCTCCACTCTTTTGCCATAGATAAAACACGTCACCCTCTCCAACTAAATGTGTTCGCCCAACGCAGACTCCATCCAGGCCGAATCCAATCTGATGGTACAACAACTGCCTTCACCGCCCCCGCGATGTTGCGGGCTTGTTGCTTGTCTTTTGTTTTTAAAAACTGATACCCATTTTTCATTGGCCTACGGAATTATTAAAAAAATAATGTAAAAAAAACCAGGTGGGCTACTGGGCCCAGTGCTCCTCGGGCAACGAGGGCAGCCTCGCGTCGTACTGCTCCGGCAGCACCTACGACATCATCGTGATCGGCTTCATGCCCCAGTTCGGCAGCGGCGGCGACATTTCAATCAACTTTGCTGGCCAGTACGTCCAACACCATCTGCGGTTGTGTGCTGTTGCGTGCGGTTGGTTTTGGTTGTGTGCGGTGTGTGCGGTGGCTGACGAGTGGTGGGTACAGTTGCTGGCAGACGTTCCCCGGGACCAACCTGCTGCACTGCTCCGACATCGGGAGGGACATCCAGGCGTGCCAGTCCCAGGGCAAGCGCGTCTTCCTCTCGCTCGGCGGAGGCGATGGCAACTACGGCCTCTCGAGCGACGAACAGGGCAACCAACTGGCCCAGACCGTGTGGGACATGTTCCTGGGCGGGTGGACCAACAACCGCCCGTTCGACGGGGCCAAGCTGGACGGCATCGACCTCGACATCGAGAAGGGCGACCCCTCGCACTACGGCGCCTTCGTCAACACCCTCAGCAACCTCTTCAACAAGGACACCAGCAAGCGCTACTACATCTCGTACGTGTTTTCTTGTGTGTGTGTGTGTGTGTGTGTGTGTGTGTGTGTGTGTGTGTGTGTGTGTGTGTGTGTGGTGTGTGTGCGGTGTGTGTGCGGTGTGTGCGGTGGAGTGATGATGACTCACAGATTTCTTCTTGATTGCAGTGCTGCGCCGCAGTGTCCGTTTCCTGATGCGTTCGACGGGCCGTACTCGTGGGGCAGCGCGCTCGACCAGGGCAAGGTGGACTACATCTGGGTGCAGTTCTACAACAACCTGCCCACCTGCGGCCTGCCCAACCCGTTCAACTACTACACCTGGTCCAACTGGGCGCAGAACCACAGCCCGAAGACCCGCGTCATGGTGGGCGTGCTGGGTGCCAACTCGGGCGGCGCGGGCTTCATCGACGCCAACGGCCTCCAGCGCGCGCTGGGCGGCGTGCGGTCGGACGGCCAGTTCGGCGGCGTCATGGTCTGGGACGTCTCCCTGGCTGCTCAGAACAACTTCGGTCAGCAGATCTCTCAGTACCTCAAGAACTAGGCCTGGCGCACCCACTGGCACTGCGGCACCACCAAAACGGTCTGCCAAAATGATGGGCTTAAAAATCATCTGTCATCTGCATGAAAAGAATCTGTCATCTGCACAAAAATCATCTGTCATCTGCAAAATGGCCATAAAAATCATCTGTCATCTGCAAAATGGGCCTAAAAATCAACTGTCATCTGCATAAAAATCATCTGTCATCTGCAAAATGGGCATAAAAATCAACTGTCATCTGCATAAAAATCATCTCTTGTCTGCCAAAATGGGCATAAAAATCATCTGTCATCTGCAAAAATCATCTGTAAACATATCCAAATTCAACTGTCACTCATTACCCACCCCACAATTAGACAAAAACAAAAACAACAAATTTATCAAAATAACAAAGATACCACAAAAACCTCCCACTGCTGTTGACAGAAAGCTGCTCTTGTGGTGGTGGGGCAGGCAATGGTTGGTCAGCTGATTGGGGGTGACTGAGCAGGTGGGCAGGTGGGTGGGGAGAGTTGAAGGAGAGCTCATACCTCACATGCTGGTACTGTCCAGCATGCAGGAGAAGACCATGAGTGGCAGCTTGTAGAGCAGAACATTCATGGCTGGCATCAGGGAAATCTGACAGTGGTTGGCCCAGGTTGAATGGTGGCGCCTGCATGTTGATTGGCTTGTAGCCACCTGTGTGGCCCACACCACCACATCAGTGAGTTGTTGGTTGGTTAGTGTTTTAAGTTGATTGCATATCAACAACACACACAATGCAATTAATTTGCATTTTAATTGAATTAACAAACAAAACAAAACAAAAAAAACAAATAACAAAAAACAAAAGAATGAGGTGATGGAGCTATGTGGGAGGACGGGCCACACCTTCAGCTTACCCCAGGCCAACACAGTTCTGCATGGTTTGAGAGTGTTCACTTGGGGCAATCTTTTGGAGAGATTGCTGGAGGTGTGGGTGACAGACTGGTCCATGGCGTGTTGCCGTTACACTACAGCCCCCTGTGTTGGGAGTGGAGCTGCCAGGAGTCGAACCTGGTTAGCCATCGTGCATGGTAAAGGTCCAGCCGTCGAGATGTCCTCCACCGTAAGCATTAGAGCACCTCTGCTCCCAGCATGCACACACCGCTACCACTTGTGGCTGAAGGCACAGCTCCTGTGTTTATTGTGGGACTGCCAATGGTTCGGTGAAGCACTCTGGGTACCAGTCCATCAACAGAGAGCAGATGGCACAAGCCAAGGCTTCGTGCTGCATTGGGCCTGCACGCCGATCATTTGGGAGCGAGTGGTTACGCAGGAGCGAGGTCGAGGAAGGAGTGGAAGGCGGTGTAGCCGCGCTCGTAGTCGTCCTCGTGGGCGAGGTCGAGCGCCACCCCCAGGAAGTGAAGGAAATGGCGGAAGGTAAGGCCCTCGTCGCTGTCGGCACTCGGCTTGAGCAGCTCTTCCCACAACTTCTGCAGCTGGGGCTGTGACGTGTGTACACGTACATTCCTTCGAGTTAGGCGTGTGTCGTGCGGAAAGTGTGATGTCGTGTTGTGTTGCGTACGTCGTGTGCGCACGACCCTGAGAGCAAAGAGAGGAATATGAAGGGCACGTACACAGCTCTTGGGCGAGCAGGCGGGATTGTCATCGCGCGCTGAGTTGGTCGCGTACTCCCACACCCTGCAAGAACGAGCGTTTGCACCAACGCACACGACACACGACACACGACACGACGCACGCGCTTTTATGCGATATCTCCTCGTACCTGCCATGAGCCTTGCCGCCTGCACAACAGTGTCACTGTGAGGAAGGGCCTCGGTAGGTACAGCGGCAGCAGATGAGGAAAGAAACGGCGTACCGACGGAGAGGCTGATCTTGCAGGTGGTCACATTGTACTGGCCATCTCCGCCTGCATGAGGGTCACCACCCCAATGAGCCCCTTTTAAAATGTCGCACAAGTGGGCGCGTGAGGGCTGTGTGTGCGTGTGTCGTGTCGTGTGCGATCCATACAACTGTACCAGAGGATTCTACGCTGGAGACAGTGTTGTCACGAAGGAACCCGAGCGTCACGTTCTTCCTGCTGGTGCCGAAGATACCTAGAAGCGCCCACGAAGTGAGGTGATGGGGTAATTCGTCCGGAGTGAGACTCACTACAGCGTACGGGCCACGGAAACAATATCTCGCGTTCATAGGCGGGTGGTGGTGTGGGTTACCGCGGTAGTCGTCGCCGCAGGAGAAGTCGTTGTGCTTGGTGACGCGCATCATGTTCAGGAGCATGCGCACCTGCATCTTCTGCAGATTAGTCTCCAGCTTGGGCTCGCTCCTGGCCAGCTTGTCCTCGTCTTCATCGTCTTCGTCGTCGTTGTCGTCTTCATCGTCACCATCCTTCTCCTTTTCCTCATCGTCTTCGTCATCTTCACTCTCTTTCTTTTCCGCCTTCTCCTCTTGGTCTTCGTTCTTTTTCTTCTCGTGATGACTCTCTTCTTCGTTCTTGTCGTCGTCTTCGTCGTCGTCGTCTTCGTTGTCGGCTTCGTCGTCGCCGATCCAAGCGGCGATGCGGGTCTCGACGGTGTCCCGGAACTTCATGAGCGCGGTCGCCTTGGCCAGCTCCTCCAGGCCGCCCGCGCGGTCGGACGCCACGTCCGCCAGCAGACGGCGCCAGGCCAGCTTCTCGTCTTACGAACGCACACACCGCACACGTGTGCGCACACACAGGAAATTTCTTGCGCGTGAGTGCCAACTTTTCACCTGGAATGCAACTTAACTTAAGCGGGAGAGCACCAGTTTCGATGAAGGCCTCGCACCACACGCTGCGCTGCGGCAGCGCGGCCGCCGCCTCCCCGGCCCCACCGGCCATGGCCTGGAGCAGGTTCTCGCGGTCGGCCACAAACACATGGCGCACGGCGTCGGCCCCGTGGAGCTGGACCAGCGCGCTCATGGCCGCGTAGGCCGCCGGGCCGCGCTCGCGCCGGAACAGCTCGCGCCACACCGGGGCACCGTCGGTCGGGTGGGCGATGAGGCGGTGGAGAGTGCGGCTGACGCACGAGAGGCGCACGAGGTCGGCCCCGGCGTGGACGTGGCGGCACACAGCCACCAGCGCGTCGTCGGTGAGGGTCTCGTCCAGACCCACGCCGCCGGGAGTCGCTGCCACCGGTCGGCGCGTGGGCGCCACAACCTCCATGACGTCTTCTGCTTCTGTGGTCGAGTCCTGCCCCCCAAGCGTAATATTTTACCTTAAATTATGGCGCGTCCCACAAGAGGGGGAGGAGATGGTACCAGGCGGGGCTTCTTGGGCTGCTTCTGGGCTTGCTTCTTGGTTCGCTTCATTGTTGGCCTGCTGTAGATTATGACAAAAACAAAAGAGATAAAACAGCAGCGCACTTTTTGGTGGAGGAAATATTTCGGAGTAATGCAGCCAATGGTTGGTTTTTGGTGTTTTATTGGTTTCTTTTTTTTTAGATTTGGGCAGCTATGGCCAAAAGTGGAAGACCATATCATCTCGGCTGCGCAGATTTCGCAAGATGGCCTCGGTCTGCGCGAGAGTGTGTGGAAAAAGGTCTCTAGGCCAGTAGGGCACCATCATGGGGTGGTGGAAGTGGAACTCGACCATGAGCTCGTCGATCAGGCGAATGGCGCCGGTCAGCTCCAGCCGCGGGATGATGTTCCACTCCTCCCCTTCGATGTCGATCTTGACCACGCAGTAGTCCTTGCGCTCGACATGCGCCAGCAGGAAGTGGTTGAGGTCGCCCGGCGAGTGGTCGGTCAAGTTGGCGCTGACTCTGGCGGGGAAGAGGGTGATGCTGTCAAGCCATCGCGTGGCAGCGTCGGCGGTCAGGTTGTACACGGTTACGGCAGCCCCGGGCTCGGGCTTCTCGAACAAGTCCTCCATCTCTTCCCAGGCGTAGATCTCGGTGAAGTCGACTGGGTAGTTGGCCTTCATCCAACCCACGCTCGAATTGAAGATGTTGGCGCCCACGTCGAGATAGACCCGGCGCGGTGGCAGTACGGCAGCGAGTGCCTGGCGCAGCGGCAGCTCGCGCTCACACTGGCCACTTGCGTGGTCGAGCTTGTTGAGCCGGCAGAGGTGCTTGTGGATCGAGTGCGGCAGCAGCCGCAGGAAGGAACGGTCCTCCAACTTTTCGCGGCTGAAGCTGCCGTTGGCGTTGGGCCGGTAGCGAAACATGTTCTCGCTGAGCAGGGGCTCCACCTCGAGGTCTGGCAGCGGCAGCGAGCTGAAGGGCGGGAGGGAGTAGCGGCCGCCAGAAGAAGGCGCCTCATGAAGCGGCAGGGCGAGAGGCCACAGAGACTCATAGTTTACAAATAACAACCAGACGCACAACAGCCCCACCAACAGACACGCAGGGCCGGTCTTCTTCATGATCGAAAGGACGAGAAAAGAACAAGTCAGTCCCGGGCCAGTAACAATTTCCTTTCTTGTATTTATTGGTATTATTTATCTCATCTTTAGCCTGTCAGCAGTCGATGGTGCCCTTGGAGGTGAGGACAGGATCACGTGGCTCGTCCATGTCGTGCCGCACACCTTGTGTTGTTGTTGGTTGTTGTTGTGTTTTTTCGTGGAGCAGTCAGAAAGGTGTTAAGATGATGTGAACTTGATTTGATGGAGAACTAAAGGTACCGATGTAGGAGGGAAAGCGCGGGACGCCGTCGGGCGTGAGCTCCTGGAAGCGATACGTGATGATCGCCCCCACCGCCGGCGGATCCTCGCGTTCGGCATCCGACAACCTGGCCATCGTCGTCGACGACATCAACCATCAGTCTGTGGCCCAAACTGTGGTCCAAAGCCTTCGCGTGAAGTGCGTACCCGGTGCCGACTTTGAAGCGGGTGCCGTTTGCCATCTTGCAGTTGAGGGCGCCCACGCGGCCCTTGTGCTTGCCCTTACCGGGCTCGTAGGAGAGCACGACGGCTTCGGCGTCGTGGAAGCTCTTCACCTTGAGCAGCGTCGTCGAGCGACCGGCCACGTAGAGCGACTTGGGCTTGCGCAGCATGACGCCCTCCCCGCTCTTCTGCTCGATCCGCTTCAGCTCGGCCTCGAGGTGGCTCTGCCCCTTGCACCTGGTCATCTTGAGCACCTGGTGCCCAACAAACCGCCACCGATCAGCACAAAGTCAAGTGTGTGTGTTGTGTTGTGTGTGCTGTGCTGCGTGCGTGCGTGCGTGCGTGCGTAATACCTTGGCGTAGTCGGTGGGATGAGCGCTGAACCAGTCGTTGATGGCCTGGAGCCTCTCTTCAAAGGTTTTGTTGAGACCCGGAGCATCGAAGATCTGTTTATCAAATGGAGCTAAGTATGATGACTCGTGCATGAATGCCGCACCCACACCCATCGCACGCACACGCGCAAGTGTGACATATCTACCTGGAATTTGAGGTTCTTCCACCGCACGTCTGATCCCTGGCTCTTGGCCACCGACACTGTGATCTGGAACTTGCCTCGGCCGCCGAACAGTTCCTGCGCGGACAACGGAGAGTACTTTGGTGAGACCCCAAAGAACTCCAAAAAGGCGCCGGCTGCCGCGAGCAGTGTGTGCGTGTGCGTGTGTGTGCGTGTGTGTGCGTGTGTGCGTGTGCGTGTGCGTGTGCGTGTGCGTGTGAAAGAGCGTACGCCATCCAAGGGCATGTTGGTCGGAAGTGCCTCACAGAACCAATCTAGAGAGGGGAAAACAGCAAAAGTGTCAGTGATGTTGGTATTTCTGTGTTCGATGTGCTTGTGCGGCGTACCCGGCGCGTAGAAGGCATTGCCAAGGCGCGAAATAAACGCTTTGCCGTTCCAGTAGGCGCGCACGCCGTCCTGCCACACAGCAAACGTTTGCGTACGCGCAGGTGTGAGTTGACGATGTGGTGCTCGCAAGAAAGGGGAGAGCGAGGTACGAGCTTCTCGGACAGCCACCAGCCGGTCGGGTCGACGCTTGGCTCCCATTTGTGAGCCAACAGGAGCTTGGGCGCGTCCTTCTTGGACGCTGTGAAATATGGCAGTGAAAATCAGTTGGCTGACCCATTGGTTGCGCGCGTGCGGTGGTGGCGCGCGTACCTGCTTTAACGATGGGCGCCGAGGCAGGCCGACCACAGCGCACGGTCTCGTACTCATCGCCCAGAAATTCGCGCAGATGCTTGCACGTGCGCCTGCGTTGTTGTGTTGACGTGCGTCGTGTCAGGCCTCAGTGTTGTGGTCTGAGAGCGCGCGTGCGCGTGCGGCCTGTAAAAGAAATCCAAGGAGCTGGGTACCTGTCGACGGGCTGGTTCTGGTTCTTCCACGCAGGGCACAGGCAATAGTAGATGTCGCCCGCACACTTCTTGATCTGCCACTTGCCTGAATGTGTCCATATTTGCGCATAAATAAATAAATAAATAATAATGTAATTATAATTAAAATGAGGTAACGCACTGCCGCCGCTCATGGACTCGACCTCGCGCGTCTCGCCGTCTTCCATCGTGTTCTTGGGCTTCGGCAACTTCACCTTCCTGCGCGCGCAGTGTTCAGCTTACACAGTTCTTGCCGAGGTGAATCGACGCAACTAAGCAGCGCGGTCGTACCCTTCTTGGCCCCAGTTACCGCCGCCGCCTAGCTCATCGCCGCCGCCGCCCTCCGCCTCCGCCTCACCTTCGTCATCGTCGTCGTCATTGACCGGAGCTGCGGGCTTGGCCTTCTTCTTGGTCACAGCCTTTTCCTTGACCACCTCCTCCTCTTCCTCCTCCTCGTCTTCTTTGTCATCGTTCTTGCTGCTGCCTCGATTCTCCCACTCGTTCATGAGCTGCATGAACTTTTCTTCGGTCCACACCTCGCATCCGCAGCTCTCCGCCTTCTCCAGCTTAGCACCGGCCTTATCACTGTAGCGCATATGTGCGGCGGTCGCGCAAAATTGTGTAGCGCGCGTGTGAACCACGATGCAGCGCTCTGCAATTCTGATAAGAGCGGGCCGTAATCGTACCCACAGATCACGATGTCCGTGTTACGGGTGACGCCGCTGCCCACCAAGGCACCCATCTCTTTGAGCCTGGTCGGTGGTCGACGAAAAAGCGAGAACTTAGTGTACGGACGGGCTGGTCTCAGTCCGAAAAGAGAGGAAACGTACTTGGCGGTGGCTTCCTTGCGTGCCATCATGAGTGCGCCGGTGAGGACGACCACCTTACCGACCACCTGCGCCGCCAGGCCTGAGACCCATGGGTCATGAGAGTCAGTAATTCCGTCGGTGGCCGCCCTCTGGAGTGGGCTGAAGGAACGAACCTGATGAAGGGTCGGCCTTCTTCTTTGCCTCGGTCGTGGCCTTGGCCTTGGTCGGCTTGGGCGCCGGAGTGGCGGTGGACTTGGCCGGTGCCGGTTTCTTCGCTTCCTTTGGCTTGGGGGCAGCAGCCGCTTCGTCGTCGTCCGGGTGCGAGAATCGGGCACGATGGTCGGCATTCCTGATGTGGGCGATGAGAAAACCAAAATTAATATTAAAATTAAAATTAAATAACGTGGACGCGGCGCAACAACGTACTTGCGGTAGCAGTCGGCCCCGAAGGAGCATGCAGGCTTGGAGCCGGCGCTGTCGCTGTCAAGCTTCCGCTTCTTGGACTTGGGCCTGGGCGAGTCCCAGGGTATGTCCTAGGCGCAAGAACAAACGTTGGTGGTGGTGGTGGTCGTGTCAGCTGAGTGGTGTCCATTCATCAAACAATTGAAGGAGACGTGGTGTGCGGTTCACTCACCTCGCTCGAGGCGACGGGCTTCTCCTCCTTAGCCGCCTGCACTTTAGCTTTTTCCTTCTTCTTCTGCTTCTTCTCTTTCTCGAGCCTTTCGGCGAGACTGGTCACTTCGTCGTCGATCGACATGTCCAGCTCCTACGCGAATCAAGTCACCACACGACACGACCACGCCACATGCGACGTGATGAGACCATAGCGATTCGCCTCTCGCCATTCAGCCGAAGGTAGGGCAGACGGACCTGGGTCACCCTGGGGCTGACGTCACCCCCACCCTCGTCGTCCTCTTCTTCGGCAAATTCCTTTTGCAGGGCTGCCAAGTCCATTTCGTCGGTGTCCTCGCCGTCCTCGACGCCGTCGTCCACCCAGGGCTTGGGCCGTCCATCACCGCCGCTTGCCGATGATGATGCGCGCGACGACGAAGAAGAAGACGACGACGACGACGATGACGATGACGAGGCCACAGCGGGTTCCTCGAGATTGCGCTTCCTGGCCGAGGCGGAAGGCGCGAAGTTGAAGCAGGGCACGTCCATGTCCACAACGAGACGAACCGCGCCTGGTTGTGTTGTTCACATGTTAACGTAAACGTAAACATAAAGGTTTGCACACTGAAGTGGTTCCACGCACCAGCGCCATCGGAAATGACGAGCGAGATGGAGTCGCCGGAGATGAGGGACGCCGGCGGGTCGCCCTTGCCCAGGTTGAGCTCCTCGCCGGTCTGCGTGGAGCGGAGCACCACTGCGTTGGTGCCCAGGGCCTTCACCTCGACCCGGGCCTCGGCTCGCAGAAAGCGGAGCTCGACGTGCTGGCGCGACACGCTGCGGCACTGTCCCGGCGACAGGCGCTCCTTCAGCCCCAAAAAGTCTGTCTCTCGGCCCAACACCAGCGGCTGCACACCATCGCAAAGAATTAAAACAAAAATGAAGATAAAAAGAGAGGGCCAACGAAAAAGAAAGATTAAATAAGTGCTGGGCGGCATGTACCTGGCCAGGACGAAGTACGCACAATCGCTCCGCATCATCTCTCAGGTAGCAGTGCAAGAGCATCTTCTTTAGTGCGCCTCCTGTTACTGTTTGGTGTGTTTGGTCTGGTTCGTTTGATGTTGGTAGTCGTGTGATTTGGCGCCTTTTTCTTTCGCTTTTATTCGATCTTTTCCTGGTATCAATCTCAATTAGCACCACCTTAAAGTGTCCGACGAACTCCCCAAAACAACAAACCTGGCACATGGCACAGAAGAAGGCCACGACCCACCGTGGGCTCGGCCTTGGGGTGGCGGCACTCGGTGCGCTGGTGGTGGTAGTGGCGCTGCTAAGCATGCCGGAGGGGGCGAGCGGGGAGGAGCTGTGGACGCGGTGGGGCGACCGAGCGCTCACCACCTGCCTCAAGCTCATAAAAGGCCGCCCGGGCCGAGCCAAGCTCGAAGTCGTGTGCGACAACTATCAAGAGGTGGTTGAGGAGGAGATGAAGATGATGGCCATCAACGTACGCCACCCCCTAATTAATTTTTCAATTATTTTTCTTTTAAATTGTCCTTTTAATAATCTAAGTGCATTTATTTTGCAGGCAGGTGCAGCGTTGGGCAACAAGGAGGCGGAGGACAACGTCAAGTTCACAACCGAGCTGTCGGTGCGGCTGGAGCGTGCGCCCTACCGGGCGGATGGCGATCAGATTCTCGCGGACTCGGCGCGCCACTTCATCGAAGAGGGCATCACCTCGCCCAAGAAGATGAAGCAGTACTTCTTCACGCAGTTTGCGCAGTGGCTCATGAACGCGGCGGTCGACAACGGCAAGTCGCTCAAGTCCATGCCGGTCTACCCCAACATGGATGACCTGGAGAGGCGCATGCACAAGGACGACCTGTAGGAGGAGAGATCTCACCACCGTTACACACACGTCATTGCTCACCTCACCTGACCACGTCATCTGTATGTCAGCAACACACAAACAAAACAATAGCATGAAGAAGAAGAATGATGATGATGATAAGCCAAAGAAAAGAGGATAGATGAGTTTTATATTGAACAAGACAAAAATAATAAATAAATTAGGTGGTGAGGAGTTACTCGTCGCCGAGCTGTACAGTGTCTTCTGGTCTTGGGTGACTTGGCTTGGTTTTGAGGTGCCGTCGCTCTTCTGCTCGCACCCTGGATCGTCGGCAGCACGAACAGAACACGGATCGCAAATGCGCGAACAGCTGCTCGTGCAGTTCCTTGCTCCACCTGTGGTGCGCGCGCACAACCCGAAAGACAACAAGAGCGTAAGTGGTACAGATCTCTAGGCAGGAGGGAAGGGCGTTCGACGAACCCGTAGACGATCGAGTTGAGCCACCCGGTCAAGGGAAGCAGGAATGCCGTCATGCACTCAAAATAAAAGCGAGGCTGCGTACGCAGTGGTGGTGGTGTGGTGAGCGAAAGATTGGAGAAGCAATGGCGCGGCGGCGTCAAGTGCACTTGTGGTCCAGTACCTGAGTTGGCGAGGAGTCGATGGCTTCGTAGACGTTCGTGGCCAGCGCCGGGCCCCAGCAGAGGATAAACGAAAGAATGTAAGCCGGCACCTTGGTCTCCAGCTTAAATGCTCGTCCTGCGACGCACGACGCATTGTTTTACGAAGAGTCGGTTACCAATCGCGCGCACAAGACTCTTTGAACAGGGTACGCGTACCTTGTTCAGTGTTGTAGATGGCGGAGAGTTTGAGCATTTGGAAGTAGCGTCGCGTGACGAAGGCGTAGATGATTATACAGTAGAGCACGGTGAGCACCACCATCCCGAGGAACACGAAGCTCCACACCTCTTGCGGGTCTGAGTACCAGCAACTGTTGCGCGTCTACGCCGTCAGCAACGAACTCCATTTACAAATTGATTTTTATATATTTATAAACAATAAGGTGGATAAATAACATAATTATTATGTTATTTATAAGGCAATTAAAACATTAAATAAAATCAAAAATATAAAAATCGCGCAATTAAATAAATCGTACAAAAATCGCAATTAAACCGTACCTGTAAGCGCCGTTCGACATGGAGCCGTCGACGAGTGGCCACACGACGAAGGGCAGAGGCACGACCCAGGCGATGAGGTGGTAGTATCGCTCTTTGAAATTGGAGTGCTGGGGAATGAGGACGTCGCCGAAATGCGAAAATTTGATGTGGGTGAAGCGATACAGCATCTCGGTAGCGATGAAGGCGGTCCAAAAGAAGGACGCGAGGTAGAGGTATTTCTTGTAGGGGCCGAGGATGCGGCACACGTAGTCCGACTCGTCCATTATGCCTAACGTGACGAGCCATTCGATGGCGTTGAAGAGATCGACGATGGAGAGATAGAAGACGAGGCGTTGGAAGTAGTTGCGTCGCTCTTGCTGGATAACGAGGAAGCAGTAGACGATGAAACCACACCCGAGCGCCGACAGGATGTTCGATACGCCGCAGATGTACTTGAGCGTTTGCGCCTGCGACGCGGACCACCCGTCTTCATCACCGTCCTCCATCATCTTCCCTTCCTCCTGTCGATCGGTCAAACCCCTCTCGCAGGCAGTGATCTAATAAAAGAATAGTAGTGTATTGCCTTGATGAGCAAGTGTTCACCCCGTCGTCCGCCCTTTTCGTCCACCATCTCCTTGAATCTCACAAGTTTCAAATTCTTTGGTTTCAAAGCTTGACTAGCCGACAAAATGGTAAAATTTGAAGAATTTCAACTGTGCCTGGTTCGGCAAATGGCGGAGAGGAAGCAACTGAAGTTTTGTAGGCAGCACACCAGGAGCACGGTACCCTGTGCAACGGAGAGGAGCGATGAAGGTGACCCAGTTGGTGGTGATGCCGCAGGGCAGGGACCTCAACGGCTGCGGCTTCCACGCCCTCTTCAACGCGAGCACCGTTCTGACCCGCCTCGCCCCCTCCAGTGAGGGTCTTGCCGGTATGTCAACAACAACGCATAGGTGCCATTCGAACCAGCCACCTTCATCTTCTCCCTGTGCTCATCTGCTGAGAGTTGTGGTGGCTGCAGTGGTCTGCACGATGAATTGGCCTTCCAGAGCGAGCGCGCTGCGTGGGTGGCCGCGCTCAAGGCGAAAGCCCAGCAGGAGGGCGACCGCTTCTACCCATGGACGATCCGCTGCGTGGACGCAGGTGCTGCATGCCCACGTTCATGAGTGATCTCCACCATGGCGACACTCACCAATTGTTGGTGATCACCAACCCAAACGACGTCAGGAGTGCTGGAGCGTCTGCATGCCGAGTACTTGATCGAACACTACCCTTCCCTCGCAGCTCTGGGGGGTTCGTCTTCAGCTGTCCTGGAATGGTGGAGATGTGGTCACACTGTATTTGTGCTGCTGACATGGCGCTGTCCGCAGGGAAAGAGGCGTTTGTGCTGCTCCCCGAGCTGTGCACAGAATCGCTCAAGACCGGACTGTTCGGCGAGGCCGAAGCTACGGCCGTGCACGGCCACATCCAGGCATTCCGCCAAGCATCGGTTCAGGCCGTGGTATGACGGGCCTCTGCTCAGGCGACACTCTGATGATGCCCTCAGCCGTCACACATCTGCAGGCATTCCTCATCGGCTCGCTCAATCACTGGGTCACGCTGGTCGCTCACAAGCGCGGGACCGACGTCGAACTGTGCGTTGCCTACGCTCTCATCTCTCCGGGCGTAGTGACCGCTGATGGTATGGAGTGTGTAGCTGGTATATGGACAGCCGCGGCTACGACATAGCCGTGTGTGCGGGTGACGAAGAGCTACTGCACCACATGGTGCAAACGTACGTCGAGGCAACTGCAAGCGAGGTACGTACCGACCGAGGAGTGATGAATGATAGCTTTGCCGCTGCTGGTTCCACTCGTCTCATGGCGCTCTCTACACAGTCGCCCCTGGGCGTTGAAGAACGACGGAGATCTCACCTCCAGTCTCTGCGAAGCACCCACTTTGCCATTCACCTGCTGGCAGACTGCCTTGCAGGTCTCTTTCCTGTCGTGTGTGTGTGTGTGTGTGTGTGTGATGTGTCGCTCACATGCGAGTCACGTTTTCTGTGACAGGTCGCACCCACTTCCCTGACGTCGCGTTTGGGTATGCAGTGGAAGGCATTGCCGAGTGTTGGCTTGCCTTTCGCAAGGAAAAGACGCCGACCTCGCCGCCACTGAGCCCGTCCTGGACCGAAAACGACGCGAGGGAGCGACGGAAAGCGCTGGTGCTGGAGTGGTTGCGTGACTACAACGGCCTGCAGGCCCTGGAGCGCGACGTGGTGAGGAAGATCGAGATGCGGGGCGGTATCGAGAAGCTGAGCCCGCAAGCGAGGCTTACGCTTCGAACGTGGCTGGACGACATGGTCGGCCACCACTTGAGCGAAGTGCAACCACGAGACGTCGAGCCGGTGGAAGCAGAGAGCACGACAGGCGCAGCTGTGGGTGAACGAACATTGGCCAGCTTGGTGACCTTGCTCCGGCCACTGCGCCAGCAACTAATGCAAACTAGCTGATCATTAGCATTGCATTCACGCACGACCACACGCACGACCACACACACACACACACACACACACACACACACACACACACACACACGGGAGGTGGAGAGAAGCGAGGCCTGGTGGGTTTGAGAGAGTTATTCTATGGTTGTCGGTCGCGATTGGGTTCGTTGGTGGTGACGTAGAAGGCCGGCTGTTCTTCGGCGTCCGGCTCCCGCTGGGCCGGGGGCCTCTCCTCGGGCGGCTTCTGGCCCTTCTGCAACACCGTGTCCTTGGGAATGAGGTCGATCTTGCGGAACACCAGCTTCTTCTGCGCCGAGCACACGAAGCGCACGTCCTCTTCCTCGTTCGCTTCGGCATCACCTGCGTAGCATTCGAAGGTTAAGGTGCTGTTCGTGTCGTGCCGTGTGTCGGGTGGTGTGTTGTACCTGATGCGGTCGTTGGTGGTTCGAAGTAGAGATGTGTGCCGATGATGTGTTCGTAGGAGCCCTGGTACGCAGTGTTGTCGAGCTTCAGTATCGGGTTGGGCGTTTCGAGTCCCTACGCGCGACACATGATCAGCACGCGCGCGTTCCCTTCCACCACCGTGACGCGTACGGTGGAAGAGGAAGGTGCACAGGCAGAGGACGAGTGAGGCACGCCGTACGATGAGGGAATAGTTTTTGAAGGTCTGCAGCAGATTGGTGCCCTGATAATCCACAAATTCGAGCGGTATGTAGAATTCCTCCACCTCTTCATCTTCTTCTATCATCTCCCCGCCTTCTGCTTCCCTACGCTCCTTCTCGCCTTCCATTACGCCATGGCCTGCGTGCTCCATCTTCACGCTTGTGTATTGATTTATTTGTTTATTTTCCCATTTATTTTTCTCTTTTGTTTTTCAAGCGGCCACGAAGGCAAACCTTCACTTCCTCGAAGTTGCGGTGGAGATGAAGGCACGCCTGGGCAGTACTGGGGTGTTGCGTGCTGGTCGCACCGGCCGAGCGGCAAGTAGCGCGGCGGTTCCGGCACGGCATGCGGCCGGGCGTGCGAGCGCTCCTGTACGGGAGGGGATTAGCAGCTCCAATTCGCGACCGGGCGCGATCATCAGTGGCCTCAGATGGGGGCGCCCCTCTTCAACATGGCTCCCTTCGTCGGCAGCTCCACAGTGGCCTCAGCTCCGGAGCTTTTCCACTTCATCTTCGCCCGCACCCAAGAAAGCGGGCCTGGGCTCGACCACACCCGCCCTCGACCGCACCCACCACTGCGGACGAGTGACCGCGGCCGACGCTGGCACCTCCGTCCGGCTCTGCGGCTGGCTCACCGCCTCCCGGTACCGATTTATTTATTTTATTATTTATTTTAATTCTTGCTATTTTATGCAATTGTTATTATTATTTTGTGAGCCATTTGTTTATTAAATAAATAAGTACTGATTTATTTATTGTTGCCAAAGGGATTTTGGCGGCGTGCTGTTCCTGGTGGTGAAGGACCACACGGGTCCGGTGCAGGTGCTGGTGGACGAGAAGCGACTGACGCCCGGCCTCAGGGAGCAGGTGGCCAGTTGGCGCATTGAGAGCGTGGTATGAGATCTACCTCTCATCATCGCCTCTTCTTCTACCCAAAATCTCCTGCACGCACACGCACACGCACACGCACACACACACGCACACGCACACGCACACGCACACGCACACGCACACGCACACGCACACGCACACGCACACGCACAACCGCACACGCACACGCACACGCACAACCGCACACGCACCACCGCACACTTGTCGCTTACGCAAGGGCCGTTGGCGTGCACAGGTCACGGTCACGGGCAAGGTGCAGCTGCGCCCGGCCAGCATGCAGAACAAGGACATGCCGACGGGCGAGATCGAGATCGTGTGCGAGGACATCGCCCTGCTCAACCCCACCTCGCACACGTCCCTGCCCTTCCCCTCGTGGAGTTCGCCCCTTCACGGCGACGAGCGTGACGCTCTTCCGCCCGAAGAACTTCGGCTCAGGTATGCATCTTCTTCGTGTGCGTGCGTGCGTGCGTGCGTGCGTGCGGTTGTGCGCTGAATGCACTTGTTTATTTGTTTTGGGCAGGTATCGCTTCCTGGATATTCGGCGGCCGTACATTCAAGACAACCTGCGACTTCGATCGCAGCTGTCGCTGGCGGCGAGGAACTATCTGCACGGCCAGGGCTTCTCTGAGAGTACTCCCTCTCTTTCTTTCAACCCCTTATCTTAGCCACTGTGGACCACTAACAAATTCGCCATGACGCACACGCACCACCGCACACGCACCACCGACACGCACACCATCGACTCTCAACAGTCGAAACGCCCACACTCTTTCGAAGCACGCCCGAGGGCGCGCGGGAATTCATCGTTCCCACGCGCACCCGTGGCAAGTTTTACTCGCTGCCGCAGAGCCCGCAGCAGTACAAGCAGCTCCTCATGGTGGGCGGCATCGACCGCTACTTCCAGTTCGCCCGCTGCTACCGCGACGAGGGCATCCGCTTCGACCGACAGCCCGAATTCACACAGGCACCCCATCCGCCTTGTCACTCTCTATGTTGCTATTATATTTACATATCTTACATATTCTCACATATTCTCACATATATTCTCACATATTGGGCAGATTGACATGGAGATGGCGTTCGTGGGCGACCGGGACGTGTGCAACCTCACCGAAGGCCTCGTTCGAACAATGTGGAAGACGGCTGGACACGTGCGCTCACCCAACCACGCACCACCGCACACGCGCACACATCACCGCACACGCGCACACACACGCGCGCATGTGCCTGGCCTAATCTCTGCTGGACCGTTCGCGTTTTCTCGGGTGCAGACACTGCCCGACCCATTTCCTCGCATGTCGTTCCGGCACGCAATGGAGACCTACGGAAGCGACAAACCCGACACACGGTACTCAAGCCAACACGACACACGACACACACGACACACGACGCACAGTTTTAAAGAAAAAAACCCAATGCGTGCAGATACGACCTGTTGCTGAGGGACGTCACCGACATCCTCCAGCAGAGCCGCGTCAACGTGCTCACGGCCCCGCTGACTGCCGGCGCCAGCACCGACGCCGCCGCCCACAAGAAGGGGCCGGGCAGGTGCATCAAGGCCATCAACGTCCGGGGCATGGCCGACCTCTCCCGCGAGGACAGCGACGGCATCCAGAAGCGGGCGCGGGACCTGGGCGGGAAGGGCGTGGTCGAGATCCGGTGCGGGCCGGAGGGCAAGTGGCGGTCGCCCATCGAGAAGCACCTGACCGACGGCGAGCGGCGGCGGCTGGGCGACGCCCTCGAGGCGCAGGAGGGCGACCTGCTCCTCCTGTGCTCCGGCCCCGAGCGCGACGACGTCTCGCTCATCCTCGGCGGCATCAGGTGCCCGCTCCACCGCACAAGCGTAGTAGCGCGCCTCGTCTCTTGCGCTTACACGACACACACCGCACACACCACACACACCGCACACACCACACACGACACGACACGATACACGCGACACATGCAGGTCGCATTGTGCGAAGCTGATGAAGCGGCGCGGCAAGCTGAGCATTCCGGACGACCAGTACAACTTTCTGTGGGTCGAGGAGTTCCCGCTGTTCTCGTTCGAGAGCGCCAGCCCGGGCGAGGCCAAGCGCATCGTCACCACGCACCACCCGTTCACCGCGCCGCACCCCGACGACATCGATTTGCTCATGTCCTCCGACGCCGAGCATGATCTCTTGCGCGTCAGGTACGCACGTGTGCAGTGGTGCGTGTGCGATCGTGCGTGTGCGGTCGTGCGTGTCTCACAAACAGTTTCATCGGTTCCCAGAGGTCTGCACTACGACTGCGTGGTCAATGGCGTAGAACTGGGCGGCGGGTCGATCCGTGTGCACAACGAAGCCATGCAACGGTACACCCTAAGTGAATTGCATGTCGTGTGTTGTGTGCGTGGCATGTGTCCTGGGTTGTGTTGTGTGTCATACGTGTAATCTGATGAGCGCACACACGTGTTTCTTCTTCAAAAAAGGCACATTTTCCGTGTGTTGGGCATGTCCGACAATGTCATGACTCGATTCCAGCACCTGCTCGACGCGCTGGGCATGGGCTGCCCACCGCACGGCGGCCTCGCCATCGGTTTCGACCGGTACACAACAAAAACCACCCGCCCCGAACTAACCACCACGCATCTCTTGCTCACGATGCTGATGATGAGTGTCGTGTGCGTGTGCGGTGCGATCAACAGGCTGATGGCCATCTTGTGCCACGCCGAGAGTCTCCGCGAGGTGATCGCCTTCCCGAAGACGGCCACCGGCAACGAGCTCATGACCGGTGCTCCCTCCGAGCCGGGCCTCGACGAGCTCAAGGAGTACCACATCTCCGTGGCCGCCGCACCTCCTTCATAACACTTTTTAATTATTTATAAATAAAAATGAAAATGGGCTCACAGGTCAGGGAACAGCCGGCGGTTGTCGGCTGCCCTCCGTTCGGCTTCGGCCAGCTGGGCAGAGACCCCCTTTTCCTCCTCGGCCCGGCCGATGGTGAGCTGGCGCAGCCGGGCCAGGAGCACGGCCTTGCCCTCGAACAGGTCGGCCTTGAGCGGGTGCCGCCCGGGCAGCAGCGCGTCAGCCACCGCCTCCAGCCGCTCCGCCAGCCGCAGACCCGCCTCCACCTGCTTCCGTATCGCCGCGCGCTGGTCCTCGTTCATACTGAGCCCCGCCCCGCCGCCGCCGCCGGCGGCCTGAAGCGGCGGCAGGCGCCCGTCGAGCTTGCGGCGCAGGAGCTCGCCGTGGAGCAGGTAGATCTGTAGGAGGAGGTAGTGGTGCGGATGCATGACCGGCCCGGCGTGGTCGGCGATGACGGCCTCGAGCTGCTGGAGCGCGGCGGCGAGGTCCTGCGTGGCGCCGAGCGCGGCGTGGGCCTCCTCGAACCGCCGGACGAGGCCGGCCTCGAGGCGCTCCACGTCGCGGGCGAACCCGGCGGCCCGGCCGCACGCGGCGTTGTCGCAGCGCCAGCGGTCCTCCTCCGTCTCGATGCCCGCCTGGGTCAGCGGCAGCGGAACGAGCAGGCCCTCGTTGCACGCCTTGCACGCGAACGCTCGCAGGTGGCACTCTGCAGAGTCGAACGTTCGTGAGACACACACAACACGCAGCACGCATGACACGACACGACACGCACGACACGCATGGTACGCACCGGTCAGATCCAGGCAACGCTCGCACTGGCAGAGGAACACCTTGGTCTGGTACAGCTCGCGCTGCCGGATTTGGGTAGGAAGCAACGGGTTGCTGACGTGTCGTGTGTCGCGCGTGCCGTGGGTGTGCATCCGAGCGTGCGGTCGCGCGTGTGCGGTGGTGCATGTGCGGTGGTGCGTGTGTTAACGCAGGACGGGTGCTGCGAAAGGCGGGTGAGGTGCGTACCCCAGGTAGGACCAGGTGATCTCACTGCCGGCCGCGATCGGTTCCAGGGCCAGCATCGCCAATCGTCTCCCCTTCGTACGGTGCATCGCGTTTTCCCGGCAACTACGCCGTCGCACGTGTCGTGTCGTGTCGTGTCGTGCGTGTTGCGTGTTGCGTGTTGCGTGTGTTGCGTGTGTTGCGTGTGTTGCGTGTGTTGCGTGTGTTGCGTGTGTTGCGTGAGCCGAAAGTAGAGGGGGTCCAAGCAAGACGGGACTTACCTGTGGGAGACGATGGCGGAGGTCAAGAAGAGCCCAGATCCCTCGCCGTCCTTCGACTGCCCCTCGCCGCTTTCGTTCTCTGCACCATGCCAGCCTTTCCATCAGAGGGGGGGGAACGACTCGCCAGTGCGTGTGCGATGTGTGCGGTGTGTGTGAGAGCGGAGATGTACCGGCGGGAGGGCGTCCGACGGCAAACTGATTGACGGAGCAAATGCAGACAATGATGAGCATTGCCTCCTTGGCCACCTTCATCTCCGCGGGCAAGACCTGACCATCCACTCACACGTACGTCAACGACGACACACACACACCACCACCACCACCACCACCACCACACACACAACGACACACGCCAGGCACGCGCGCGCGCGGGTAGGTCCACGATGGGAACAAAACGCACCCGCAGCATGTCCTCAACGGCCGGAGCGTAGGTCTGCAGCAAATCGATCTGGGATTCGGCATGCGCCTGCATGTGCATCATGCGATCGAACACCGGCGTGCCCTCAACTCCCCTCTATTGCGTGGGTCGTGTGCCATATGTTGTGAGTGTTGCGTCGTGCGTCGTGTTGCGTGCATCGTGTGCCGTGAGTGACGTGAGTGGTGTGCCGTAGTTGGGAGGCGACCTTTTGGGAGCTGAGGGTCTCGAGCCATCGGGCGATGACGATGCGGAGCAGCAGCAGGATCTCCAGATTCACAATGAGGTGCCCGAGCTTCTTCACGTAAAAGCACTCCACCCGATGCAACACCTCTCCCTCGGCTCTGCGCCCAGTCATCAGTCCGTGCGTGTCGTGTCATGTCGTGCGTGTGTCGTGTGTCGTGTGTCGTGTGTCGTGTGTCGTGTGTCGTGTGTCGTGTGTCGTGTGTCGTGTGTCGTGTTCTGTGTCGTGTGTCGTGTGTCGTGTGTCGTGTGTCGTGTGTCGTGTGTCGTGTGTCGTGTGTCGTGTGTCGTGTGTACCGGCAAGCGGGGGAGCAGAAGGCGATGGTGTGGCACTTGTTGCACCGAGCGGCGGCGGCGGCCGGACCCGGGGCCATGGCCTTGAAGCAGTGGTGGCACACATCGCGTCGCCGGAGCGTGCGGCACGAGGGCGCGAACGCGTAGGCCTCCTCCTCGAACGGCTCCTCACCTCTGCGCGTGTCGTGTCGTGTCGTGTCGTGTCGTGTCGTGTCGTGTCGTGTCGTGTCGTGTCGTGTCGTGTCGTGTCGTGTCGTGTGAGTCGAACGATCAGTGAGTAGAGAGGAGTGGTGGGGCGACGAAACTGTGCGATGTCGCGAACGGCGAATGCGGCGCGGCCCTTGCCCTCGACCTCGTCGCGGATGACGAACGCCCGCCTCGAGTCGTCGTCTTCGCCGCCGGCCTCGCGCTGCAGCGATCGGGCGAAGCGTTCGAATGCCTCGACGGCGGCGGCGACTTCGGCTTCGGTGGCGGGAGCGGCCACGGGCGGCCGTCCGGAAGCCACTGCCGCCGGACGTTGCTGCGGCAGCTGCGCACTGGTGGCAGCCGAGGCCGAGGTGGCCGAAGTGGCGGCAGCCAGGCGCGGGCACTCCTGCTTGTGTACGGCCTTCCAATGGCTCACCTGGTGCTCTGCCAGAGCCAACCACCCATTGCAACAATTTAGTCGCGATTTATTATTTTTTCTATTTATTTTAAAATTAATAGACTCTGCATAGGCCACTCAGCCTCGCCAAGTTCAACCACCTCTTTTTTATAAAAAACTAAAAAAAAAATCTAATAATCTCGCTATTTGAAGATTCAGATTCAAAATTGGGAATTGGAATCTTTAGAGGTCAAGATTCGCAGGGTGTACCACGGGAGCAGTACGCGGTGGTCCGGCACACCGAACAGCGCGAGAGATTCGTCCCACTGGCCCCGCACACCGCGCATCGGAGCGCCGGCGTAGCCATCTTTACTTCAGAAAAAATAAATGAAATAAAAAAAAAGAAAACAGGGCCGCTGTGTTTAGATGGCCGGTGGTTGACGGTGGTTGCAACCGCTCAGTAGCTGGCGCGGTACTTGCCCGTGACGGGGCACAGGTCGCCCATGCCCCGGAAGTTGCCGTTGGGATCCACGTCCAGCCCCAGCTTCCTCGTCGCCTCGTAGCTCGCCTGCGACAAACGCGAGTGTGAGCGCACACGCACCACCGCACACGCACGAACGCACACACCACGCGAGTGCGGAGTGCGCGCACCTTCTTGCGGTTGAGCTTGGCGAGGTTGAGCGCGTCGTTGAGAGCGAGGACGTGGCCGGCAAGGTGCCTGGCGCACCACTGCTGGGCGGCGAACGTGCGCACGCCGTCCTCGGCGCCGGTCAGGCCGGCCTCGCCGCCGCCCGGCCACGCGGCGTGCTCGATCAACAGCGCGGCGATGAAGGCGGCCGCCATCGCGTACGACACGTCGCGGGCGATCGACTGCGAGAAGACGTGGCGCTTGTCTGTTGGGTGGGGGGTGAGAAGCCGCGCTAACTAAAGAGTGCGCGTGACGTCATCAACGAAGGGGGGAGGGGAAGCGTAGGTACGTACCGGTGTCCATGTCGTGCGTGATGGCCTCCACGATGTCGGTGAGGGCCTTAACCGCCTGACGCACCTGATCGGCGCAGTCCTTCAGCGGCGCCGAGAGGGAAGGCAGCGCCACCACGCGATTGATGTGGTTGCGGTACTCTGATACAAAAATGGGGGGACATGTTAGAGAGATATGAGGCCCATGTGTGCGCGTGCGTGCGTGCGTGGCCGCTGGGGCGTACCGACAAAGGCGTTGGGCTCCCGGTCGAGGATGCGAAGAATGTCCATCGACAGCACGTTGGTGGTGCCCTCCCAGATCGTGTTCACCTGCACAATTAGAATAAAATAGTATCATTATTATTATTATTCTTAGTACTATTATTATTTATTATTTGAACGTCAAGTGGGTTGCAACGCGATCGGGAAATGGGACTGGGAGCGAAGGTACCTGCTGTTCGCGTAGGAGTTCGGGCAGGTCGGTGGCGTCCTCCATGTAGCCATTGCCGCCGAGGGCCTCGATGCATTCCGAAATGGTGGCCAGCGACAGCTTCGCGGTGTACAGCTTGCCGAGGGTGGTGAGCACGCGCAGCAGATCGTTCTCGCCCTTGGTGGCGCGGCCCGTCTCCATTTTGCCCTGCACGCGCCAAAACGTTCAGAAAAAACAATGACACACGACACACACCGCACACACACCGCACACGACACGAAAATCTACCTCGAGGAGAACCGTGTGGAAGAGAAGCTGCAGGCAGCCCCTGTAGGCGACCTCCTGCTGCGCGAGAGTCTGGACGTGGAGCGGCAGCTCGGCGATGGCCTTCCCGAAGGCGTGCCTCCTGTGGGCATAGTCCCTTGCCACAGCGATCGCCTTCCTAGAAAAGACAAAGTGTACGCGTGAGTGTGTGCGGTCGTGCGTGTGCGGTGCGGCCGAGCGTGCGCGTGTGCGTACCGCATCGAGGCAACAGAAGCCGAAGCAGAGTAGATGCGAGTGATGTTGAAGAGTGTGGCGATGGTGGCCACACCCCGACCCACTTGGCCGACGAGCCGTGCCGGCGTGCCGCAGAGCTCCAGCTCGGCGGTGGGCAGGCTCTTCGTGCCGAGCTTCTCCTTGAGGCGCCGAATCTTGATGTTCTTGAGGTTGCCCTCGTCGTCCCTGAGCTGGATGTAGAATAGGGACAGGCCCCGGCTGCCGGCCACCCCCGTCGGGCCAGTCTTGTCATCGATCACACGAGCCAGCGCGAACGCCGTCTCCGACAACGTGGCCGAAGTGAAGAACTGACACACACACACACACACACACACACACACACACAACGGCACACGGCCGAAGCACAGAGCACTGTTAGAGTGGTGCTGTGGTGGTGTCATACAACAACTACAAATGGCACAGCTATTACCTTGATGCCGTGCAGGCGGTACATGAGCTTGTCACCGGGAACGGGCCTGGCGATGGTTTCGGTATTGCCCACGTCGCTGCCGCCGGGCTTTTCGGTCATCCACTGACCCGACGTCCAGAACTTGGCCGGGTCCTTCGACGTGTAGTGGTCGAACAGGTCTAATACACACACACACACACACACACACACACACAACACACACACACACAACACACACACACACACACACACACACACAACACACACACACAACACACACAGCGTAAGCCGAGTGCTTCGGCGAGTGAGTGAAAGGTGGCAGTTCGTACCGTGGATGGAATAGGGCGTCCCGCTGTCGTCGCCCACGCGCGGCTTCATGATCTCGCACAGGCGCGTGGCACCGTCGGTCATCGACAGAGGACACGTGTAGACCGCCGAGTACGGTCCAAACAGGTGCATCTTGGCGAATTGGTAGACACGGCTAGAGAGTGTTGTGTCGTGTGTGCGTGCGTGTGTCGTGTGTGTGTGCGTGCGTGTGTCATTTGTGTCGTGTGTGTCGTATGTGAGCGTAACGGTAATGCGCAAGCGTAGTGGTGGTGCGGGTCGACGTCGTTACCTGTACTCCTTCTGCTTCCTCTCGTAGCCGATGGCGATGAGGCCCTCCTCGGCAGAGACATCGTTGAGCCTCTTCCAGCCCTCGCCGATTCGAATCTGGTCGATGCGCCTGGTTGGTGTTGTGGTGGTGGTGGTGGTGGTTTGTTCGGTGGTGAGTGGCGGCACACTAAGCCGGAGGGCCACGGGCGAGATGCGAGGGAGGGCGCGTACCGACCCCAGGCGTTGTACTGCACTAGCACGGGCGGCTGTTGCTTGATGTTCTTTCCTGTGGAGCACACGACACAGGGGGGAGGGGGTGAGCCTCGCGGTTCCCCCGCAAGCAGGAGCATTCACAACCAACCGGAAGCAAGTGCACAAAAAAATTCACCACAACCGCAACATTAGAGGGGACCACTGCCTTTCCCTGGTCGAGATTGATTTATTTATTATTGTTTATTATTTATTTATTTATTTATTTAAAATAAATGCCTCAATATTAGGTGGGGGTACCGTGCAGGGTGCACTCCTCGACTACACGCCAGCCAAAGCGCTGGAGGTCGGGTTCGATGGACTGAAGCACGTCTTCGGGCAGCAGACGCTGGAGCACCTCACGCAAAGGGGTGTCTTCGATGTACTGGTTGCCCAGTCTCGGTGGGTCCTGCAGGAATCCTTGGCCTCCGTCCTCCATCTTGCTCTCTTTCAAGAGAAACAACTACTGTGGTTTGGCTGGTTTTTCTCCAAGCATCTAAGGTGGCGCGCCACGTCATGGCATACCTAAGGCCTGACGTGGCATTCTAATTCATTTTAAATATTTTCCTGTTCGTTGCCTGGCTGTACTTTGTTACGTATCTCCTGTAAGTTGTATATATTGTAATATATTGGTTTTCAAAGTCAAAAATGCTCGAACATACGTAAGTATCTTCGCGGTGTGGCGTGCCCGAACGGGCCGTGACCACGCGGCCATCACAGAGCGCTTTGTGATGGCCAAAAGAGGTGAGGAAGAATAATATCAGATAGAGGAGAGAAAGAGATAAGTATGATATGTCGTGCGCGGAGTACGGCGGCTCTCTGGTTCGCCGCGTCCTCTTCTTCTGCTTCTTCTTCACAGGTCGAAGCTGAGGAAGGACGACAGGAGGATGTCCGATCGACCCGACGAAGAAAGAGAGAGCGAGGAAGGCTGCGGCGCAGGTACGGCCTCCGACGAGTAGAGCATCGACGTCGCGGGTGGCATCGAGGTGTAGGCGAACGGGGCGGCCGCACAGTTGTCGACGACGCCGAAGCCGCCAGCCACCGCCGTGCTGGCGGCCGGGTAGCTGGGCCAGGCCGGGTAAGGATAATGATAGGGCAAGCTGGTGGTCGCGGCGGCGGCCGGGTAGTAGTAGTTGGGCGGAAGCGGAACCGAGACGGACGAGGTGTAGGCCGGTAGCGAGGTGAAGAAGGGCATGCCAGCGGGTGTGGTCGCGGTCGGGGGGAAGGTGGACCACTCGTAGGGCGACGCGACGGTGGGCGACGGTGACGAGGACGAGGTGCAGCCGGCGTCGGCGTCGGGGGCAGAGTAATAGGTGGTGCCCTGGTTCTGCTCGGCGGGGTAGTAGTGCTGGGGCTGAGGCTGGGGCGGGTAGTACTGAGGGACGCCGTAGGCCTCGGTGACCTCCTCGGTGTCGTCGGTGAGGGGCTCCTGCTTGATGTTGCCCATGCTGAGCATCTCGGTCTCGAGTTCGGACTCGAGGTCGATCAAGACCTGCTCCATGTTGTGCTGCGCCCACTGCTGGTGGCCGTCGTGGTGGTGGTTGTAGTCATGCGGCTGCTGCTGGGGCGACGACGCGGCCGACGTGGAATAAGGCGAGGAGGTGGCGGTCGTCGTGGTTGTCGTGGATGACTCGACCGAAGGCGAAGATACGACGGAGGAGGAGATGGGCGAGTGGGCCGGGGAAGAGGCCGAGGAGTCGAGTTCCTCGCGACGGACGAGGCCCTTGTAGCAGTGGCGGGCGCGGATGCGGGGACCCATGCGGCAGGACTTGATGCCCGGGAAGGCCTTGTGGACGAGCCGACCGAAGGCGGGCGCGGTGAGCTGGGGCTCCTTGCCCATGCGCGCCCACTCGCTCAGGTAGTCCTCGAAGATGTCGGCCTTGGCCGTCCACCCGTGCGCGGCCACAGAGTAGGTCTGACGAATCCTGTGATTGTTTTTGTTTTGTTGCGCACGCACCAAAAGGAGAGGATGTCAGTTTGTTGGCCCATCGTAATCTTACGGTGCACACAAATCCCATCTTCCGGAAAAGGAAAGAGTAAAGAGAACGAACAACGAAAAGATCGAAGAGGGACGAGGTGGGTACCATTGGACCACGCTCTGCTTCATGGCGCGCAGGGGGAGATCTTTGGCGGTGAGGAGGTTCGGCGAAGACCACGACGTCGCGGCGTCGCTGTCATCTGAGTCGCTGCTGGAGTGCTCGCGCTTTACCGCGCGCATCTTCTTGTGATGGCGCTGCTGCTGCTGTGTAGTTTCCTCTTCGGCGTCGTAGGTGCAGTCGCTGGAGTCATCTCCGTCCTGCTGGTGTTGCTTGTTGATGACCTGCTTCCTCTTCATCTCTGGAACTCGAGTTTGTGTTGGTGGGATGCGCTTGAGCTGCGACTTGAACTTGTGGTGGACGGCGAGGAGAGGCGAAGTGGAAGGGGGTTGAGGTTGGCCGCGAGGAGTGTTGCGTGCGCGGGCTTGGATAGTTGTTTTCTTGAATGGCTCTTGTCCTGCCGCACGTTTTAAATGGGCGGAGCTGTGCACCTCTCCTCTTCGTTCCGGTAGCTACCAGGCTAACAACGACGCGGTCGTCAACCGGGGGCGACAAGACACGCGGCATTAGGTCTGCCCTGCAGCGACGCGAACAACACCCTTGCCTTACCTGATCCTGCTCGGCGCAATCAGTTGCCTACAGCCCGGCACGCGAGGCCTTGAATTCCGAACGGCGAATGAACCACCGCACAAGTGTCTGCCACAACACGAAATTGGGTCAGGACTGCAGGCGAGAGCCAGGGGCTGGCACAGCCAAAACACTGTTTGGTAAGGAGGGGGGGTCACCTGTGGCAACAGTTCATGGTGGAGGCCATTTAGGCCGCGCTGGATTGGTAGCAGACGAGTCTGGCATAGATGGGGACATTTTTGGATCTCCTCCGCTGTACCATGTGACGAACACCGCCTCCGGTTGGTCCATGTTCGGGAGACCTGCCAATGGCGCACGAGTACCAAGGAGCTCTGGTTGGCTGGAGCGTAACTCCAGGCGCTCATTGGCTAGAACGTCTCCGCTTGGTACCGCCTTCTTAAATCTGGGAGGAGAGAGGGTCAGAGCCAGTCTTGCCCGGCTCCCGGCATTGGCGCCAAAGCCCGCCTGAGCATCCCCGAACCGCGCCTTGTTGCAGGCCGGTGGAGTGAGCCTCGAGCTTGGCGAGCAGGACGAAAGATCTTGCGTTTGAGGCCGGGGCCTCCATCTATGTCATAGCCAAGATGGGAATTGGCTCCTTCTTCGTACCTGCTTCATATCACTGCGGGCGATGCCGCGTCGGCCTCCTCTTCCAACGGCTCGTTCTTTCATCAGACGGCAGCGCCCCCTTACAGCTCATGCTTGTCGTCTCCATGGTTGTGAAGGAAGAAAAGTGGAAGAGTGGCGCTCCTCGCCCGTGCGTGTGAAGGCGCTACCTGGTTTTGCGGCGGTCTCCCGGTGCGCTGCCGTTGGGGCCATTTTGCGGCTCCGTGCTTTGGTGTTCTTCGATTGGAATGTCAAACATTCCTGTGACTTTGGCTGTTGAATGTTTTGAATGTTTCGTTTAGAGTTAGCTGACCCGCACCTTGGGAGAGGTCATACATCGCCGAGAGACTGGCGGAAGGGCCAAGTTTAAAAAAGCACGGAGCGACAGTGGCTCCAAGCTCGCCAACGCACCTGCGGCGAGCAGACACAAGCTCGAGGCGCGGACAGGAAGACGGCGGGGGATGACGAGGGGGCGAGATTCGACGGTGGGTGCACGCTGGGTGTGCGACTGGCGAGGGAGACGCCGAGATGCTGCGCAGGAAGGTGGAATAGAGGCGGTGTATCTCTCTTCCCTGTCGTTGAGGCCGAGGAGTGATGGACAACGCAGTGCAAGGGATGCATCAAGTACGCATGGTGAAGGTGTAATGGTGCTTTTGATTTGCGTCCCTGCCCGTCTGACCCAGATCGGCGGCTGAGTTGTTTACTCCCAGAGGAGTGCCAAGAGCTCCGCAAACTAGCTTAGATTTTTGTAGACGCATTCTTGGGGAGGAATGCAAATTTCTTTTTTTCTTTCTTTCTGGTATTGTGGCATCTCATAAATCGGCCGATAAGGGAACCGCCTTGAGAGCATCATGTGGGGAGGTACTGACTTCATTCTTGATTGTTCTTGATTTATATTTTAAAAAGAGGCCTTCGTTCCTACCTCCTCCAATCCAATCCCAGGTCCACCGCCATCCGGCTACTACCCACCCCAGTCAACTGGGGCACCCCCCTACTACGCGCCGTCCTACCCGACCGCAGCCACGCCCTACGGGAGCGCTGCACCCTATCCACCCTACAGTGCTGGATACCCGTACGGTGCGGCGCCGCCGTCTTCTGCGGGCGGCGGGCTGGACATGTCCTCTTCAGTGGCCTTCCCCTCCCCCGGCGCCCAGTACGACGCGCAGTCGCTCGGCGCCAGCTTTGGCGCGCTCTCGCTCAGCAGCGGCTACGGCGGGCCGCCGCCGTCGCAGGGACCGTCGGTGACCGTCAGCTACCCGCACG